CTGACCAGCTGGACCAGTTCACTCCCCAGGACCTGCAGGACATGTCACCTGGACAGAAAACTGAGTTTCTGGCACAACTGCTGCTGGAGGTACACAAGTGGTCAAACATCACCTGTGCAATTGCAGCCTTTTATAGTGCTGAATTGATGCAGGGCTTACAATCACATGATGCGAATAAAATATTTCCTCCACACACTTTTGTGGAACTGGGTTTTAATCCCTGGCAGGTCTCATTGTTGTGCCCTTGGGAAAGGCCCTTAACAGGGCTCGAAATTAACATTGTCCCAGTGTCAAATGACACTAAATTTTCAGCTCGGGACAATTCAAATTACGTTTTGGGACAATTTCGGGCAACTGGAAAATTCTGAGACCATCCACATGATTTGGGAACGCGATCCATCCATCCTGCTGCGGGCCGCCAGCAGCCCATAATACTCAAATATATGTTCAAACATTTAAATTTGACCAATCAGGGATTCCAATTGTCGGGGAGGGGGGCCTCGAAGATGGTGCAGTGCCCATGATACTATCATCTATTTCCCTACATTTAATAATAAAGTGGACTTCAAGTTTTACAATTCTGCATGTTGTTGATTTCTTATTGTTGCCATCAACTTATTTCCTGAAAAGAAGGCTGGGACAGTCCATCCTCAGTTCGGGACAATTGAAATCTATGTTCGGGACAATTCCGGGACAATAGTAAAAAAAGTCAATTTCGAGGCCTGCCTTAAACACCTATTTCCTCGACTCAGGTGAAAATGATTGAGTACCTAGCTTCGGTTAGTCCTTTCGAATAGGACCTAAAGCCAGTGAGAGTGTTAAAGGAGAGCCACACCTTGAGCATGTTAAGGATCTCACCACACTTATCGAAAAGTGTAGGGGTCCTTCCCGGTGTGAGTGGTTCAAACATTAAAGTCTGGTCTCAGGTTTGAGATCTTGAAGAGGAAATAGTTACTGACATGTCTTTGTTAATCCTTCTACAAAATGTGGTAAATTTTCATAAAGTTCTAAGGCAATGATGTGAACCTTTTTTAGGTTGACTGTTCAGGATTAAGGTACATGTACCTTATCTTTATAAAAGTAACACCCAATCTTGGGTAATGTCCCATGTTTCAGCCCCCACTGTCGATTCAGCATATTGAAAAGATGGACCAAGTCTATGGCATGAGCGCTAACAACAACTCAGAGATCAAGTTCAGGTGAGGTATTGTTCAACAGATCTTTGTGATATATTCCAGGCTTAAAGAATCTGAATGTGCTCAAAATGGAAAGAAACTTCTTTGTAATACTTATATATACATGACTTGTACATACATAAATACACAGAGACAATTTGAAAGCATTTCTGACAAAATGATAATGAAAAATGATAATAACTACATGTTGTACCTAATTCATGAACATGGTAAAATTTAGAGTTCTATGACCAAACAAAGTGTCTGAGTCTGACTGACAATTTGATAAATATATTTTCCCAGATGGCTGAGGCTGGGTATCAGGGCAGAGTGGGAGGGTGCTGTTGACCCTGCTCTCAAGTTTGTTACTGTTCAGGGGAGGATGAAGTTTGTACGGCCACTCTACAGGTAAGGCCACACCAATTTCATTGCTTGGTTTGCTGATGTTTAAAATTGTCTTAAGCAACAGTAAAAAATTGCATTGCTCTGAAATTGCATTGGATATGTTTATAGATATTTATACAAAAATATCAACGTTTTTTTCCTGCGAAAAAATGCAAACTATGCTTCCTTTATTATGTTTGATCCATAGTCTCAAAACCATGTAGAAAGAATATTTGATCACTTGATACTTATGGTTGATTCTGATAATTTTCTCACAATTACACATTTATAGTTAACATTACAAAGTTAAAGTTCCAATACAAAAAGAAAGACTCACCATTAAGTTTTGGTCACACACACATCTGATGAAGGTTGACATGTTTGACCAAAAATTAATGGTAAGTCTTTCTTTTTGTGTTTGAACTAAAGCTTAAACTTTGTAACTATGGATTCCACTAATACAGATGAGATTTCTTTCAAATTTTACATTTAGTCAAGTTCAAAACACTTACCAACACCACATTTGATCCATTTACATCTCACAGGGACCTGTATGGGTTTGACAAGGCCAGAGAAAAGACCCTGCAAACCTTCCAACAGAACAGGCCCTTCATGCACAGCACCACGGCCAGCCTGGTGGCCAAGGACCTCAACATCCAGTAGTGAACATCAGGCACTTCATGTTCAGCACCATGGACAACCTTATGGTCAAAGCCCCAAACCCCTGGAGTTGTATAGTTGTTATAGGGAATGGCTATTATCATCAATAACAGAAAAAATTTTCACTATTGTCAGGATGATCCTGTCAATAACAGAATTTTTTGATCCTGTCAATTATAAAATTGCATTATATAGTGGAAACATTTGTACTATTGACTGGATAATAATGCTGGTGGATTTTCCACTATAAACAGGATCATCCTGCTGAAATGTGAAATGTTCTACAGCATTTGGATGTACTTACTTGCTATTGTGCTATCATTACATAGCAATAGTTATGTTTACCAAAGGAAAACATTGTTTTTGCTGAGTTTCATTCCTCTTCTTGTTCTCCAAACACTAACCTCTGACCTGGCCAATGACCTGATTTGTTGACGTCTCTCACCATGGTAACTGGTGTTGGGTTACATCATGTTGCAATCTTAAAGTAGGAGGGATTTAGACTCCTGTCTGGCCATATATACGAATGTGTTTGAGTAAGAATTAACAGAGCAGACCATATGCGAAGGTAAACATCATGCATTTGCTTTGCAAATGTTACCTTTCTAGTTGCTGTAGATTCTACCATCAAATCAAGATACAAAATGTTCTTGTTCTTCGTGGAAAATGTAGTCATCACAAAATACAGCATTACAAAAAATTGCAGAAGGTTTTTATCTTTCAGTAGTATTGCATGCTGTTTAAAAGGGAGGAATAATTATACCAAAGGATCTTTCTTGTGCTTTTTATAGTTTGTGAGCAAAACTTCTTCAATAGCCAGGAAAATTCCATGATGAACAATTGCAAGTTTACATTGTTGCTATTAGTTTGGTCTAAGTTGCTGGTGTGCTAGTTAAGTCTAATGTGGCCAATGAATACAAAAACTAGCAAGTACAAGCCTGTCCATGCAATGAAACAATTTGTTTTATTTTTTTCAATTAGGATTTTTTTGCAATGAAATGTAACGAACAATTCTTGCCCCTTAAGTATGGAGTTACTTAAAACAATTGTACCCATGGTGACAAGGTGCTCTAGTAATTCTTTTCCATAATGGAAATAATGGAAAATTAAAACTGACATTCTTCAGAACCAAGGAATGCATGACTGACACTGAATTGTCTATTCCTGTTCTAATATGTTCTCCAATACGTTAATGCTAATAACTTTCTATTGTTCGGGTTGAGGAATGCTGGTTAGTTGGTGTAGAATGGTAGGCAGATAGGCAGGTAGATAACACAGTCAGAACCAAGGCTAGTACTAGTCTCACAACGCCACCTGGCAGGTTGCCATTGCATAGCAGGCACAGATGCTGATGACACAATCAGTACCTAGGTCAGCAACAAAGCGCCACCTGGCAGGTAGCCATTGAATGGTAGGCAGAGATCCTGATGACACAATCAGCACCAAGGTCAGCACCAAAGCGCCGCCTGGCAGGTAGTCACAGAACTACAGGCACTACTAGCTTGATCAACAATACAGACACAAAACGTACTTTCTCAGCGAAGCATAAAAGTCACAAGAAACATTTCAAAATTGTAATGTCAACGTTGAAAAGAATTCGGAAAAAAGTGGGTTTCCCCATAATGAAATAAGGGTGCCACAGCTAACACTACAGATAACTTATTTTCCCAATAGTACTAGCATATAAATGTAGCATTGGACTCTACAGAAAGAAACAATACAGGCGTAATTCATATTTATGTGTAGCAAAATTACTATAGTACAATGTATGCAGCCACCACAATATATCTCCAACAATAACTGTAAAGTTAGAACAAACAAATAATGGATGTCATAGCATCTAAATATCAACCCATTGCCCCTTAGCACTTGTTGATGACGTTTTTAATTATTATTGACATGTCACTGTGTCAGAGTGCACTGTTCTTCAGCACAATTTTATACACATTAATGCAATGATTCAGAAAAAGTATTATGTAGCATTATTACGTCGAGGTTATGTATAGTATTACGTCGAAGATATTTTTTTTAGTTTTGCATTACCATTGCACGTAACCGATTGGTATACATGTATATGCCAGAGTGCATTATAAATGACGCAAAAATATTAAATATAATTTGTAATGTTTTGATGCTATACAACAGACAAAGAAGTCACAATTTTTATGTCCTTATACGTAGAGGGCAATGCCTTCGTGTATACACGTTTCTCACAAAGTCCTGGGTGGGGTCATCTTTTCATTGAGTCATAATTAAGTCTCTTTGAATATCCATTTCTAAACCGCTAGACACCAACAATGGATGAGGTACGCCACTCCCAGTGAAGGTTTGTAAACTCTTGAATATTTTATGAGTGCCATGATACGAAGGTAGCAGACCGTAGCCGTTTGACGTACCATCACGGCTCAGTTTTCTGGTGGCCACGGTTACATTCATGCCCTCTGAATGTAGACTAATACAATATCTGATACTAGTATAGGTATTGAAAGTCAAGGTACCAGTGTGTTTACGGAAGGGACCCTAGCCTGGTATCCAGACCGTCGTGAGCTCAGCGCTATCTCTTCGGCGCTGGGAGCGTCACCGGCCGCTAAACTGGGCCCCAGTTACCGGTCACCGGATCGACGCAATAGAAAAATCGGCGTGATAGAAGAAGCCAGCGGATAAAGAGAAACCAGTTGGAGATATATCCGTGGATATAGATCGCCTGTGCTTAGTAAAGGCAGGGGTAGGAAAATCACCCCCAAGCCGTCCCTAAGGTTTGGTACCCAGGCTGAAAGGACCATGGATTGGGACGATGGCTTCCGCGGGAGCCACGTCAGGCGCCCGGTCCGACCACCTCGTGCTGCCGACCAGGACTCGCTGGGCCGCGGGTCTGTAACGTCCAGCTCTCTCCGCTTCGGGCCGAAAGAAGGCTTCGTCTGGAGTCCGGGGAACGACGATATGGAGTCGATATACGGGGATGCTCGGGATTCCGCGCCGCAGAACCCGCAAGGCTGGCCCGGTAGGCACCCACCGTCAATTCAAGGGCCGCCTCCTGTCCCCAGCACCGCGCCGTACCAGGCTCCTGCGCCCACCCAAAGCCAACCAATCCCGCAACCGGACGACTTACCACCAGTGGATTATGAGTCCGTTGATGAGACCAACGCGGACCCCAAGCCTCCTCGGTACGAGAGGCCACTTCGACCGAAAACAGCATTAGGGCATAAGCCATCAAGGGGCACACCCAAGAAGAAGGCCCCGGAGAGCATCGCGTCTACCAAGGACGACGACATTGACAACCGGTCCATCGACTCCACGTTCAGCGACATCCCCGATACTGCGAACAACAAACGGGCGAAGATCCTACAGAACCTGGGCGTCCCCGTGAGAGTGGTGAACGAAGAAAACCTACCCGATCTGCATCGTCAGGGTGACTCCGACGACGAAAAGGACAACAAACAAGGAGAGAAAAAAGGTGACAAGAAGACAGAAGAAGACGACAAGAAGTCAGAGAAAGAGGAAGACGACAAGAATGATGATGACACAGATGCACCTTTGGATCGTCAACAGTTCCTCCCGTTAGTTCAAACCGGTGGCGCCGGGCCGCCAACAGGTGCCCCTTCGGGAACGTACGCTGCCCTGCCCGAGGCAAGCCCGAACAACATGCCGCTGGACAACCTGCCGCAGCCTGACTACGCAGACCCGACTGAGATCATGTTAAAACCGTACACCAGGTAGGAACTTCCGTTACTGATATTCACAATCTTCCAGAGAATATCTTATTACATTTATTTTTAAGAGGTTCTAATTTTCATGAAAATATGTTGTTGAGTGTGCCGTCACCATGCCTTTGTCACAATGCCGTCACAATGCCTTTAGTTTATTGCAAATACATGCCCGAGGACTAATTGCAAATACGAACAACATGTATAAGAGATACAATGATAAGAGAGACAATGTAGTGTGCAAAGTTATACTACATTCTACAACATACGATGTACTAGTTTTGTTGTGTTTGACATCGTCTCTTGAGGCAATGGAAGACAAATTTACCTACTTCGTCTATGATATTTGGGTTCTTTGATTTCAGAAGTAAAATATTGTTTTGACTTGGCGGTGAATAGTAAGGGAAAGTAAGGGTGTATTTTGAACACGGTGCTGAATAATTAGTTTCTGATATGATTCTAAAACTAGAGTTCCACGATCCCATACCTTCGCCAAATGATATTACTCTTGGGCCTTGACGAATGTTGACGAATTTTAAATGATTTTCTTAAATCATGAAAACAAGATCTGAAGGTCCCCATTTGCATGAATTATATCAGTTGATCATGTTATTCACCTAATGAAAGTCTTGTCTAATGAAAAATTGCTAATCTAGAATTTCTTCATAAATTATGCAAATGAGTTATCGTGTTCACACACACAAACACACACACACACACGAACGCCTCTTGGCGAAGGTAACGAACAATTAGAAAGGTAACATTTGCAAAGCAAATGCATAATGTTTACCTTCGCTTGTGGTCTTATCTTAGACTGTTAATTCTCACTCAAACACATTCATATATATATATGGTCAGACAGGATCTAGGAATCTAAATCCATCCTGCTATAAAATTGCAACACGGTGTAACCCAACACCAGTTACCATCGTCACAGCCGTCTAGTTCAGGTCATTGACCTTTGGTGTTTGGAGAGGACGAAACAGAGCAAAAACAATATATTTTCCTTCATAATTAAAGATGGAATGATTGATAATAAAAACACCGTCCACCAGCCTCCCGGACAATGTCCAGGATACGGACATCAAGGACCCGAAGGGACAGTTCCTGTTCGCCGTGCAGAACGGAGACGTGGAGAAGACCCGGGCCCTGTTGGAGCGTAACGCCGTCAGGCACGAGTTCGACATCAACACCAGCGACGATGTAAGTTCCAACAAACGTTTGCATCTTTTTTTTATTTATTTAGGCCACATCAATTTAATTAGTTGGTTCTCGTATTCGCTCACTTTTTTTCTGATTTCAGGAAGTTCAGGTTCTGAATCAAGTAAAAAATGCTCATATTTTGGCCCCGACAGTTAAGGAAAGACCTTGTCTTCCTAGTTGTTACAATTTTTTCCATTTTACATTTGCTTCTACAGTGCTATATTGTGACAATAACACACTTGTACTGAATCTAACGTGGGGTCGTGTGGCGTAGTGGTAGCGTGTTCGGCCCAGGCCCAAGATGTCCCGGGTTCGGATCCTGCCCGGTGTCACCGATCTTGTGTGTGACTGTGTGGGACTGAATAAAAAGATCCCAGTCAAATAAATGCTGCTAAACCACAGGAATACAAAGCTGGCATCGTCAATTTGCGGTATTGCATACTTTAGATACGACAAGTCGGCACATGCTGGCCCTTTGCGGCATCTATGAGTCTTCACTGTACTGAGTTCTTGGGTTCCATGGAACCTCGGTAGCCTGGGTACCATCCTCCGTAGGTACTCCGCTAGCTACCATGGACTACGGAGGATGACACCCAGACCAGAGCCTCGGACGAGGTCCTCTTTTCAGATCAGTCGAAAATTAATGCGCGTGCGGATGTCATTCATAATATCAACATTTAAAGATAGAAAAAAATCCTGACGTACGTTTTTTGCTATCACTATTGTGCGCCTCTCTACAAAATATGGTCAATGAAAACCAAAGCACTGGCCAGGAAAATTGATTTTTCTAAAAAGGGGGCGTGGCTCATAACTCCAGATTACGTCATCGTGACGTCATAAAAATTTGCATAAATTATTGTCTTGCAATAAGGTACTTATATGAAAAAATTCAATGACCAAAAGTAATTCTAACTAGTATTTCTAAGATGTCCCCAAAGTCCTCAGGCACCATTATACACTACCTTAAGCCAGAGTGGCCTAACGTTGTCTGTTTTTCTTTGCAGGTGGGTCGCACGGCGATAGAGCTTGCGGTGTGTAACCAGCACGAAGATGTGGTAGAACTACTGTTGTACTTCAACGTCAACCTGGGCAACTCGCTTCTGTTCGCAGTGGACCGCAGCAACTGTCGTCTGGTGGAGAGACTCATCCGCTACACCAAGAGCACCAGCAACACTGTAAGTGTTCTCAGAGGCTCTACGTTGTTACCCCCTATGTACAACTTCAAAACTATGCAACTCACTCAGACTTACATTGGATATATCAAGGGCTTCTAGCTCTACTTGAGTCAATTAGATATAGAAGTCCAAATACTACATGTGTTAATGGGCCTAAATTCTCCTTCTAGCTCTGATTGGCGGATGTATTTCCAATAAATATTCTAGTCATTTATCTACATATACTGAGTTGGAGCCACACTATCCCAGTGTACATTAGATCATGGAGCAAAAAATTCACCAAATTCTGACAGAAAATGGTTACTAGAACTTAGAAGGGTCCTTGGCTGATATTTAGGGTACCGCCCAGAAAATAAAGGACTCATCTTGGCGCTTGTTTCTGCAGTTTTAAATGCACAAAATATGAAATGCTGATTCAAATGTGCTAATGTGAAGCAGTATGTGTCAATATCACAAAGATTGCTTTATTCAGAATATTTCCAGTTTTGCTGCCCTGATGCTGCATTGGATGCCTTTAAAGGGGCATTATGTAAGATTTTTGTACCCAAACCTCTGCTTGGAGAGCAAAAACTCAATTCCACCTGTCTGAACTATGACATAAGATCAGGGACCCTATGGAAATTATTTTCTCATTAGGCAGAATGTAACCTTTTGTTACAATGACATTATTTATTCATGAGGGGTTTAGTCATGTGTCATTGACGTGTCAAACTGACGTGATGTGCCCAAAACGTATTTTATACACAATGTATGGATACATAATTTCGTTGCTAAAATATCATTAGGATAGAATATGCCAATGTGGCAAACGGCAAAAAGTAAAGTTTGCTTACACTAAAACACACGAGGAAGTTATGAAATAAAGACTAAGCTTCAACTTCCAACACTTAGACTACAGAATTGGGACTTACCCCAAATTTTCGGTTGACTCCATCAACCTTGTTCACGGAATGGACCCGTCTACTCTTGGAACGTGACTTCAGAGACACATGACCGTAGTAGCCGGATATACGTGCCAGATAACTTGTGTCTCTCCCCGTCCGCCCGTATGAAGAAAAAAGAAATTTTGTTGCCCTCTGACAGTGGTCAAATCATGCCGAAAATGGGCAAAAATGTCTGTTGTCGTGCCGGAACGTGGATGACAGATAGATATGAAGATAGGAGACAAAAGACAATTTATTGTTTTGTCTTTTACTTAGATGCAGTGATGTATTTCATTCCTTTTAGATGTGATGCTGGATGTGTATATGTGATGTTTCCACTGAATCAAAACCATTCGTACAATGATTAAAAACTTATTTTTTAATGTTGCTTTAGTGAGAAATGGATGCTGTAATTATAGTTTTCAGTAAACGTAGCACAATGTAGGAATCATTTCTTGTTTAACAAAGTTTATGATGTCGAAATGTTTTTTCTGGGCCCGCCTTGTTATTTTTTTCTGGGCCTGCCTTGGAGGATGTCATCCATTAAATTTACTTGCTGCGGAATTATGTGTATTTACACCTTTTGTTCTCGAGCAGGGACCTCCGATGTCCCCCAAAGACAGCACATTCCCGCCGGAAGTGACGCCGCTCGTGCTGGCAGCACAGCGGAATGACTACAAGGTCATGCGGCTCCTGCTGTTCCATCACTACACCATCACCCCTCCTCCGGTAAGTCCAGCTCGATATTTTCTATTTATTATTAATTCATTATTAATCTATTACTAATCTATTAGTAATTTATAATTAATGTATTTTTAATTCAAATAATTAGAATAGATATCACGAAACTGTATATATAGCCTTTACAACTCTACTGTCATGGAAGGTAGCCTCTGTCCTTGGTGCTGAATTCGGTGTGTTATAGCCGGTAGCCTTCACTGTGTGTGTAGTATATGGGAGTAAATAATACATCAATTCATGATAACCACGACGCTAAATTCCGTCTTGTATACGTTCGTTGCCACATCAAACGGTTTACGTACCTTGATTTTTGGCAATTTCAAACGCTTCAAATGTGAAACAATGACAAACATGTGCTCAGGAACGGCAGTATATGTCAATATTGGACAGATTTCCTCATCCAGAATATCCAGAATATTGTTTTTCCACCCTGAAATTTCATTGGATGCCTTAAAACCCTATATAGGCTCTGATTGGTCAGAGAGTGCTGATCCAGACGAGCACGAGGCTGATCAGATTTCCTCATCCATATTTTTCCGCCCTATAATTTCATTGGATGCCTTTAACTCTATCATGGCGCTGATTGGTCAGAGAGTGCTGATCCAGACAAGCACGAGGCTGATCAGATTTCCTCATCCATATTTTTCCGCCCTATAATTTCATTGGATGCCTTTAACTCTATCATGGCGCTGATTGGCCAGAGAGTGCTGATCCAGACAAGCACGAGGCTGATCAAATTTCCTCATTCATATTTTTTCCGCCCTGAAATTGCATTTGATGCCTTTAATCCTATTTAGGCTCTGATTGGCCAGTGAGTCCTGATCCAGACGAGCACGAGGCTGTTCAGATTTCCTCATCCATATTATTTTCCACCCTGAAATTTCATTGGATGCCTTTAACTCTATCAAGGCGCTGATTGGTCAGAGAGGAGTCATGATCCAGACAAGCACGAGGCAGATCAGATTTCCTCATATTTTTTGTTTGGTGTCCTGAAATTTCATTGGATGCTTTTAACCCTATCTAGGCCCTGATTGGTCAGAGAGTGCTGATCCAGACGAGCACGAGGCTGAACATCCTCCGTGCCCTGTGCAGTCCGTACTACATCAGTCTCACCAGCGCCGACCCCTTCCAGACAGCCTTCGGGCTTACCGGGGAACTGAACGAGGTAAGTAACCGTGCTATGATCTGGTGCTTCCCATGGTGGATAGAAAGGAAAAGAAAGGAAAGGAAAGGTCTCCCGTGCCCTTATGCAGAGCGTAGTGTGGTGCCCATATCCATTTCTGTAGCCCTTGGGCGACACACAGTTGTGCAATGCAATGCACTACAGCAGGGGGCTAGTCCGCTGGTAGTGCTGTGTGTTTGACCTTCCCACACTCATTCTCATATGTGCCGAGTACTAAGCAGAGAAAGAAGTGTGTACCATTTTTAAAGTCTTTGGTATGACCCGGCCGGGGTTTGAACTCAAGACCTCCCGGTTACAAAGCGAGCACTCTACCAATTGAGCTATTGCACCGGTGCAAGGTGGATAGCAATCCAAACAAATTTTCGCTGTCATTTGTAGCCACCCCTGTTTGTTATTATCGGTAGCCTTCACTGTGTTTAGTATGTGAGAGTAAAAAAATATCAAATCAGGGTTACCACGAAAATCGTATTTACAATAGATATTAAGAAACTACAGCCTCAGAACTCAACTGTCATGGCGCGTAGCCTATGTCCTTGGTGCTGAATTCGGTATGTTATTGTCGGTAACCTTCTCTGTGTGTGTAGTATATGAGAATAAGATAAAAACATCAAATCAGGAATACCATGACGCTAAATTCCGTATTGTATACGGCCAGTGCCATTTGAAAAGATTTAACAACCAAAAACTGTAGATCATTTTAGAGAAAAACAGAAAAGTGAGATGTTGTAATCTTCGTTACCAGTTTCCGTACATTTCAATGATATGAATCTTTATTGCATGTCCTTGCCCATGTGTACTAAATGCACAAATATGACCAAATGTGGTCGAGAGGATAAAAAATATGAGTATTGTACTGGAACGCTATATTCTAATGCTAAGTGCTAGGAGACTATTTATTACAACAATACTATATACTACCTACCATCTACTGTTAGTTGCCCTTCTTCTCTCTTTTTAAAACATCTGGAAACATAATTATATAGCTTGTCTACTGTACATTCGTTCTTGCATGACATCAAGTGTTTAAACGTGTCCTGCTTTGACATTTTCTTACATATCTTGTCTAATTGTAAAGTATCGATCGAATAGCTCTTGGCGTTCATCTTCATATAATGTACAGTCAAGTAGAAATTGTATCTCGTTATGGTACAATGAGAACGGCCTTCTGCCTGTCCCAGATGATGCAGCTGGACCCCCAGCACGCGCACGAGTACCGTGCCCTGGCGGACCAGTGCGGGGACTTCGCGGCAGACCTGCTGGGGCAGGTGCAGGACGTGGACGAGCTGGTGACGGTGATGAGCGGAGAGGACTGGAGTAAGGACCGGGAGGGCGCCAAGGGGCTGTGTATGCAGACCATGCAGCTGGCCGCCTCCAATAACCAGATACGGGTGGGTGTGGTTTGGGCTTGAATGAGCTATCATTTTTTACTTATTCTATGCTGTGTTCATTTGATTATATGAAGGACATCCACGCGCATGAACTTTCTACTCTCCAAGCAGAACTTTTTAGGTTCTGTTTACCGGGCTTTGTTTTCTGCACTGGTATCTTTTTGTTGGCGTAAAAAAAGATACAAGTGCAAAAAAGAAAGCCTGATAAAAGTAAAAAAAACACGCTCAAACCCAAACCTCTGCTTAAAGAGTATGAATTTTCGTCCGTTTCCAAACAAATTGCACAAAAGTAGCTGCAAAAGGAGCAAATACATGCTTAATTCGCAAAGAAAATATTGGAAAAATGATACTAATGTCGTAGAATACCAAAATCAAAAGAAGAAAATGTGAAGACATGAAAATGAGGAATCTTTTTTTTTCGTCATACTCTGTGTGTTTAGTCATTTGTTCAACCTTCATGACCATGCACGTCCATTTTATAATGAAGGCAAGTTTTCTTCCCAAACTTTTTTATCCGCACGCTTGAATCAGTTTTGGGGTTCCCCTAGGATGTCATCCATGTAATAACATCAACCAAATACCAAAATCTCGAAGTAGATTTAACGCCTGTGTTTGTCCCTGACAGTTTGTGAACAAGGACGTGTCCCAGGGCCTGCTGTCGTCCATATTGCTTCAACTACATTTAGAAGAATTGATGACCAGAAAATTGCCTTTAAATATCCAATTTTGTCGCTCTGAAATGACATTGCATGCCTTTAACGCCTGTCTTGTCCCCGACAGTTTGTGAACAAGGACGTGTCTCAGGGCCTGCTGCTTTCGATGTGGGCGGAGAAGGTGAAGTGGTGGAACCGGGCGCCGATCCTTGTGCAGCTGCTGTTCGGGCTGCTGGTGTCCGCCGTCTGCCCGCTCCTCATCATCGTCTACCGCATGGAGGCCAAGTCTTACGTCGGAGAGTTCATCGCAACTCCCGTTACCAGGTGGGGCCTAATTAAATCGATACAAAACCAAGGTAACTTAGAGATAATGCACCTCCTACTAAACAAAAAAGGTCTACCCGTGCTCCATGCAGAGCATAGGGTTTTGGTGCCCATGTCCATTTCCGTAGCCCTTGGGCGACACACAGTTGTGCAGGGCACTACAGCAGGGGGCTAGTCCGCTGGTAGTGCTGTGTGTTTGACCTTCCCACACTCTTTCTCATATGTGCTGAGTGCTAAGCAGAGAAAGAAGTGTGTACCATTTTTTAAAGTCTTTGGTATGACCCCGCTGGGGTTTGAACTCACGACCTCCCGGTTACAAAGCGAGCACTCTACCAATTGAACTATTGCACCGGTACTAAACAAACAAGTTTGTAAAATAATGATATAGAAAAAATATGCTAGTATTGCGTCCTGGCACCAAAGATCGTAATTACAATAGGTAGCACGAAACAACAGCCTCAGAACTCAACTGTCATGGCGAGTAGCCTCTGTCCTTGGTGCTGAATTTAGTTTGTTATTGCCAGTAGCCTTCACTGTCAAGTCAAACTTATATGGCACGCCAAATAATTCAGAATGTTGATTCATCCATAGTCTTGTAGGCAGGTCAATTCTTTTGTAGCCAGGTTTCTGTATCATCAACTGTATCATAGTTCTAGATCTCAGCAAAGTCGCTGTACTTTTGATGTGTCAATAACGTTCTACAATATATCCTACATCTCTTTTTAGGTACATCTGTGAGATCGGATTGAGACTGTGGTTTATAGTTCTCCTCATGTTGGCCACCTTCCGTGTGGACAGCAGTGAAGCCACGCTGTTGGACACTCTCAACCGACAGTCGCGAGCTTCACCCCCCTCTATTGCAGAATGGATCCTTCTTGTTTGGATCGCAGGTAAGTTGTGTGTACGATTACAGTGGTAATAGATGTACATTTTCTTGAAATGTTGACTAAGTTTGCTATTCTTAACGTCATGCTTCAATGTAGACAAGTTCCTTCCAAATCTATTGTCATTGCCTTTGTATCCGAAATCCATAACGATTACAAATAAAGGTTGAAAATAGAGTCAATTCCGCGTCACCGAGTGGGTTGTTATTGTCATTATTTAGAAATGTTTTGAATTCTTTGTAATTGTTTGTCTAAGAAATTTCATAATTTGGAAATAATTTGAACATCTTGTCAATATTCTAAATAATTCCCTGGTTTTCTAAAACGTTTGAAATATTCCTGATGTGGATTATGACATTTCAAATAGTTTCTGAATAATTCTAACAGCACTCTACCATTTTTTACCACTATTTCGAATTATTTCTAACATTTTGTAAATAGGTCAGTGGGATGGGAAGGAAGTAATTCACACATCCCTGTGAAGTACAGGGTAGACTGCCTGGGTGTCAGGCATTGATGCCTTACAACAAAAGAGCCACCAGTGTCCAGCAGTGAAATCTAAAAATATACAGAAGAATACAAAAGAGTAGGATTAGCACCTACTTTTATGGGGGCAATTACCCACATCTACCATTTGGTCATTTGTTTGAAATATTTCTAAATATTTCGAATAGTGAAAGAAACACATGGGGAGTTCAAATTTATTCTAAATAAAGAGATCTTTGTACAGTCACTTTCAAAATGTTTCAGAAATATATAAATGAATTCAAATATATTCAAATTCTCATTTTCAAATTTTTGAAAAATTTAGAACTTTTGTTACTGGGGTATTCTTTTCTTCTAAATGATTCAAACGTATTAGAAACATGGAGAAAAAACCCACTCGGTGACGCGGAATGGACTCTACAAAAAAAAACTTCGAACGTACAAAGTCTTAAAACATTTATATAACAAAGGAGGAATACTAAAATTTTAAGATTGCTAAGTTTATACAATTACCAAGAAGCAATAGGAAGTCGAAAGTACTAAATAATAGACGTTTATATTATACATACTATATACGTTATAACATGATCATGGTCCAGGGGGGAAAATGTACAATAAAGGTCTTCATTCATTCATTCATTCATTCGCGTGGTAACCTAAAGAAAGTCTCTTCGTTGTTCTTGTTCAACAACGACATTGCGTTTGTGGCTTCTAAGGATAGATTAAATAAAAAAAAACTCGTATAACTACGATTGATCACTCACTCACTCACTAGGTCGAGCTTCCCTCGGTTCCAATGACTGCTCTCCATCTCCTATCCTTCATTTCTACCATTAGGTTTTTCCTGTCGAGCTGGGTGTCGTCCATTCATTGGTTAATATAGTTTCTTGTTGGACGACCTCGACTTCTTTTTCCATGTGAGGGCTCCCATAGTAATAACTGGTGTATGATTTCATCCTCACTTCTGTAGCAGTGTCCGATGAACCTCAACCTTCGTTTTCTTATTGTTTCGCTCACTGATTCGCGATTGATAGATTGGCAAATTTGAACGTATCCTTGCCTTGTCGTTCGGCAGGTATGGTGATACAGATGTGCACGAACCTGTGGCGGTACGGCGCGCGGCGGCACCTGGCCAGCGTGTGGGGCGTGGTGGAGATGGTCCTGTTGTTCCTGCTCGTCACGATCGTGGGGCTGCGGGGCCTGTCGTACGGACGGGTGAGTGGAACTTTTTTTCATGAATTTCACACGTCGAATTCCCATAATGCCTAGTAAAGATCACGGATATGGATGGGATATGACGTAAGAAAGGGATATACGTGATGCGACCGTGCGAGTAGGAGAGTCTTCGGTTGAAGGTAGAACGATAGAAGGTACGTCATTTTCTCTAATTCCAACAAAAATGCAATTATGGCATGCGTTTTATGCTATATAACAATATAGTTGACCAGTTTGTCGATAGAACTTGTTGGAAATATTACATCGAGGAAGGGGGAGGGTGTGGTCATACTTCATATCCGTGACCTTTACCAGGCATTATGGGAAGTGTGAAATTCATCAATTCCCAGGATGCATAGCGCCATGGGCCCGGGTAAAAAATCCCAGGTTTCATAGCGCCTGGGGTCGGAATACTAGTACAACATACAGTTGACGTTAAACAGCTGGCTTTCTGTGTGTTTTAAGGTGTTGGGGCATTTTGTGTTCAAAATTAAGTGGCAGGCCGAATCCGACAAGGAACATAGTGTAAAATTCTTGTATTTTCTAATAAATATGTTACTTACTCTATACATGTATCAAGGAGCTTCAAACTGCCAGAAAATACAACTATTTCTAGAAATTATCAAAGCACTACATTGTCAGCTGGAAAAACTGTAACAGCTGGGAAGACAAGGATGGCCAAGGATTTCCTCAGCAGTTGGGACCAAAATATTAACATTTTGGAGTTGATTCAGAACCTAGCCTGACTGATCGCGCTCTTTGCGGCCGGCGCGGCCGCCCCGAAGTTGCCGCCCTCCAGTCTTGGGGTGGGGGTCATTAACCTCCGGCCGAGAGTGTAACACAGGCTAATTTAGAACCTTAATCCTTTTCCACCTATTTTTTGCAAATCAGAAAAAAACTGAAGTGGGCGAATCCGAGAACCTATTGGTTAAATAGTCTGAATGTTGATACATTATTTCTGCCCCTTCAGTACCAGTTCCTGGACTATAACGTGTTGCCTAGCTGGGAGCGGTTCCGGATTCACTGGGATCCGTTCAGCCCCGCTCTGGTGGCCGAGGCTCTTATGGGGCCCTGTATCATCTTGTCCGTCATCCGGATGATTCCGTTCGGTATTCTGAACCGCCATATTGGACCCTTCCTCATGGCTCTGAAGGTGCGTTTTTACTGTTGTTACCTCCATGAAAATGGAGGTATTGTTTTTGGTATGTCTGTGTGTGTGTCTGTGTGTCTGTATGTGTTTCTACTTGGCCCCAAAGCATTGGGTTAGGTTGTAATGGATATGGTTGGGTTCTGTCTGCCCCAAAGTGAGAAAGTCATTAATCACTTCTACATCTGGTAGCGTTCGCAGATGTTTTTCGTTACATGACCTCCTTGACAGCTGAAAGCTGGCGTTTTCCTTTGCGAAATGCATATGATACTGCAAATGGGTTACTTTGCATCCGCAGTTAAGACAGAGACAAATTGAGCCTTCTTTATGAGAGATTTTCGACCCCGTCCTAAAAAAACTTGTAAACACCATGGTTTTATGGTTTAATTTTCATTGGTTTAATAGACGTAATTCCAATCTTCGCGGCCATTTTGAAAACAGGTCTCGCGAGAGCACTACGCGAACGTACGTGATCTTGCACGAAAACGAGACTCTTCATGATACGGACCTTCAGTGCTCTATCCTACAGTCATTCGAATATCTTCTTCAATAAAAAGTTAACTTTATGTTTCAGGATTTGGTGAGGAACATCTTGATGTTGGCTCTACTCTACTTCTTGGTTCTTTTCTCCTTCGCCTGGGCCTTGTATTACCTGTACTGGTACTACACCACTGGGCACGAGATCACCTGCACCGAGGGCGCCGACTATCACGTGACCGTGAACGAGACTTACGTCAACAGCAGCTTCACCCTGGGGGCCGTGCCCTGCAATACACCTCATCCGTTCGGCACGTAGGTGGCGCTGTTAATGTTAAAAAGTCTACAAATATTTAAATGATGGTGTTGGTAGTTAGAGTCCATGTCCATGTCCATGTTCAAAGCTAAAACTTTTGTTCCAGCACAAAGAATTGTTCTCACTTTAATAGATCTTTCGACCAGTCACTGTGGTCTTCTTCAATAGACTGACCCAGTGAGACTTGTCACGTGGCTTCTCGAAAGTGTGGCGTGTACACTTTCTATTTTGTCCCGCGATGAAATTTGAACACATTTCGTTATGTCATTTTTGTATTACAACATTTAATCACAAGACAAGTTTTCAACTTATTTTCATGCCGCCACCGACATAGAATAAATCACATAAATAGAACAAGCAAAGGACAAATGAAAACTATAGAAAGGCACAACATGGGGGTTTCGAAAACACCTTATACTGAAAAGCACTGTATGGGGGTTTTGAGAATATTTTATGGGTATTGAGGACTACACGAAAACATTCCATTTGGTAAAGGTTGGTATAGAGACAGTCCATTTATACTTTGGTAATAATGACGGATATGGACTGGAATATGATGAATTTGCTCCCGCGAGTCTGCCTTTCTAGTTTTTAATCATATTCACCATGATGATACTAAATTTGTCGCTATGTATATTATGTTCCAAGCATGGAGAACTCCATGCGTGCCTTGTTCTTCTCTGGGTTCTTCATCATCGACGCCACGCCCCTTGACCTGACCTTGACCCGGAACGGCACGGTGATTGGCTACGGCTCCCTGATGACGTACGGCACGGGCGTGTCCATCTACTTCCTGTACATCGTGCTGCAGTGGATCCTGGCGCTCAGCGTCATCGGCGTGCTGGCGGGGTCCTTCCACAAACCCGAGGTGTTACTCACAACGTCATCTGTTTTACAGTTCTGTCACATAGAGTTTTAGTCTCTTTATTACATTTTGTGCCCTTCTTTAATTGAGTCGTTCACCTACTTTGAGAATAATCGGCGTGCTGGCGGGGTCCTTCCACAAACCCAAGGTGTTGCTCTCAACGTCATCTGTTTTCCTGTCACATTTCTTATAGAGTTTGTCTCTATAATATCACTTACAATGCATTGTTTTATTGAGCCATATACACACTTGTCCTTACAACCGAGCTGCTACCCACTACGTGATCTGCTACTGTCACATTTCTAGGCCATGTTCATTTGCATATATGGATCACATCCAGGAGCGCATGAATTTTCATTTGTTTCAAAAAAGACCATACTATACATTTTGTAAGACCATATAAATCATACAAAGCAGATGCAAAATTAGCAAATATATACCGTATTTTGCAACAACAAAAAAGAATGCCAATATCCATTCCAAAGGAAAGGAAGAAAATGTAAAGAAATGAAAATGAAGAGTCTATTATTCGCCATACCATACTCTGTGTGTTTAGTCATTTGTTCAACCTTCATGACCGCGAAGATTTCATAATGAAGGCAACTTTTTTGCCAAACTTAATTATTTGCACGCTCGCATCAGATAAATGATGCATTTTACTTCCTTTCAGAAAGAGGATTGGATTTTTGTCCGCTCCAAGTTCATGCTGCGGTATTTCGGTAAGCAGTGGAACCCGCCCGCCCCCTTCAACCTGGTGCCGACCCCCCGCGGACTGACCCGAGCCGTCACCGCCTTCCGCTGCTCCAAGTTCAGCCGTGTGCCCGTCACCAAGGTGAGGCTGAACTGTCCTGTCGAGCTAGTGACAGGACAGGTTGACTCTTTTTATGTTATTTTGAATGTAAATTGATTGATATGTGTAATTATTGAATATGTGTATAAAGTAAAGAGACTTTTTTACACAACCAAGTCTCTTATTCAGCCGACGTTTCAGTGTCTGTCACCTTCCTACGCATTCCATTGGTTGTGTAAAAAGAGTCTCTTTACTTGTCTTCTGATGAAACTATTCACGGATGTGTATTTGTTAGTTTTAAAGAATAAATGAAAGACCTTTTTTTGTGCATTTATGCTCCAACAAACTAGACAGGTCATGCACAGATTTAGTAGTATCTTACTATACGAGGTATACAGAGATATCTCACAATTTACAGTCAACAACATGACATTTCATTCATTTTACACTTTTCGTTACATTTTCCTTTTTTTTTCACAGATTCCACGGCTGAGGGACCATGAGGCACGATACAGGGTATGTTACTGTTATACGTTGTATTCTCGCCTTTTGCAATTACGACTGATTTAGTTTTATGGATGTCATGATTTTTGCCTGTTCTAAAAAAAAATCATTTCCATCGAGGCTCTGGCCAGGTTGCCATCCTCCGTAGTCTATGGTAGCTAGCGACAATATGGAGTCGGCGGTAACTACGGAGGACGGCACACAGGCTGCTGAAGCTCCACGGAACTGTACTTCTGTGGTGTAGCAGCATTTTTGACTGGATGTTTCATTGGCCCTCTTGAATTAGTTTTGGTGTCGCCAGAGTATGTCATCCATAATTTAAGTCAGTATGGCCTATTGCTGTCTTGGCTCATGTCATTTATTGCACAGTATACAGAACACATAAAGTGTACGGATATCCTCATAGAAAATATTTACATGAAATGTTCAGGTTTGATATTGTGTTTAAAATTTAGACATCCCCTCACGAGAAGCTCGAGCTTGTTTGATATTCGCTGTCTTTTATTTTTTCCTCAGTTGGTTGTCCAACGTCTGGTGAAACGTTACGTGGCGCGGACCGAACCATATGACGGGAACGTCGGGGGTGTCCTGTCCAAGCTCGATCAAGTCAACCGGGTAGGAAAAGTAGCTTTTTACTTTGAAATTCTATAACTTCAAATGCATCCAAGTCATTTTACGTAATAACATAGTAATGGTATGGAGCATTCCTATCCAATACTGATCTCTTCGAGTCAAAAATACAATGACGGAAAACGGTTGCTTGTTTTGTATAGTAGTCTGGTTCTAGCTATTTATGGGTGGTACCCAAAAATGAAGAGACGCCTCACGTCACTTGTTTTTTGGCAATATAATTTCAAACGCTTCAAGTTTGAAATGATGACGAAAATGTGCCAATAAAGCGCAGTTAACTTCAATATCAGATAGATTTCCTAATCCAGAATATTTTTCGTTTTGTTGCCCTGTTCAAAAAAGAAAATCATCAACACGATGTAGACATCTTTTACATTCATTCATGTCTTCCATACATGTTCTACTGAGTCAAATTGTTATAGAGCTGTGGTATTTGAATGTTTTGTTTCTTTTCCAGTCAACGCGAAGGACTGAGGCTGCGCTGCTGAGAGGATATTTGGGTGGTAACAGACCCGTAGCGATCAACAACAACAACAACAATAATTACCACAACAACAACCGCCAAAGCAGTGGGGTCATCAACAATGGGAATAACGACATACCAGAGGAGGATTATGATCACTTGCTTCGGCGAAATGGTGACTCTACCGCCATGTAAAGTCTAATATTCTCTCTTTCTCTGCTCTGCTCTGTGTGTGTCTCTCTTTTCTGCCTCTCAATCTCTCTCTTTCTCTCTCAATATCTCTGTTGATCTCTCCATCGACTTAGACTACTCTCTCCATCTATCTATCTCTGTGTTTGTGTGTGTGTGTGTGTGTGTGTGTGTGTGTGTGTGTGTGTGTGTGTGTGTGTGTGTGTGTGTGTATGTGTGTGTATGTGAGTGAGTGTTTCAAAATCTTGTCTATCAAAAGTCTCAGTGACGTCGACAGTGGAAAACGAACGACTTTACTGCATTTTTTTTCAAAGTTGCATGTAAAAATTACTACGAAGAGCAAGCAAGTTTTAGCAGCAAGAGTTAAGCAGCCAATTTATGAATGCATGCACTTATATCTGCCTTTATCTGTATATTTACCACTAGCAAAATAAGTATAATGTGGTGTTTTATTATTTACTTATATGATACAACAAGTAAGACAATATCGTCTCTTTAGTGTGGAATAAGTCTCGCGGAAGAATACAAATATGTGTCCGCTTCAAAATATTATCTAGCAATGACAAATCTTTCTTTGATAGCCTAATGTAAAAGTCGTGCATATATTAAGCTACTTGTGGAAACACTGGAAATATATCTACTACTTTTGAATAAAGACAGAACTCTCTATATTTATAGTCCTTTATATATATATAGTGCTTAAATGTGACGAAAACTGTATTAGGTTAAGTGATCTGAGTGTATATTATTGCAGTGTAAATCAGTAACTTCATATCAAATATGGACAATAAGATTGCAAACAGGTTTGCATGTGTAAGATATGGTGACGTTTTATTGAGTATAAAGATTGTGGAAACAGCTTGATCTATATAAATCTTTTTAAAACTGTTATTAAATTTAGCTTGAAAATGGTCTAAATGTATTCCACTTTGCGATTTATTGAAGGAATTTTGACGAGTTATGAAAAAGAGAAAGGCATTTCTTTCTGGAAGCTACTTTTTTTCGACAAATAAACGGTGGTGACTTTGACTTTCATCTTGTGTGCTTCCTTTATATCATACATGGCTCATTCTCATTGAAATGTACAGAATACCAGTGACCTAGGTTATAACATCTCACTTGGCTTTTTTTCTCCAAAAAGTATATTGTCTACAGTTTTTAGCTTTAATCTACAGTTTTTAGCTTTAATCTACAGTTTTTAGCTTTACCATATGAAGTTTACTACTAACAATTAAAGTAATAAACAATGGTTACGGAGGTTACAGTCATGACTGTGAAATATTTTGTTCAACAAAGGTGGCTACAAAATGACAGCGAACACTCCTTTTTTCTTCCCTTAGAAACCCAGACAACTTGCAAAATGTTGTCAAAACGACAATTTCTTGTCTGACATGTGGCTCTATCTAAACTTCACGACCGTTTATAATACTAAAATGAGCGGTAACGGAGGTTACAGAACTCTCCAATTTTGCGGCTATAATTCAATTTCTTCCAAGTCATCAACCAAAACTAGTGGTACATTTTTCGTGAAACATAGTAAGTGTAGTGGGAAAGTGAAGAAAGCAGTAATGAGGTCCGTGATTTGGCTCGTATCTAGTCGTAAAGAGTGGCGACAGCATTTTGCACATTTGAATGAGAACGGGCCATATAATCTCAACTATGCCCAAAAAACAGCTACTCAAGCAACTGGGTATGATTTTTTGAAACGGTCAGACGTTTCAGGTAGCCTCCACTACATTCCTTTAGTGAGATCTAAATGTAGTGGGTGTTACCCAAAACATCTGACCGTTTCCAAAATCATATCCAGTTGCTTGAGTAGCTGTTTATGGTGTATCTTATTACCTAGATCTCCAACCATGACTACCAGTGGCACGAACATGTGTTCAAATGAAACTATCAATCCAGCGGACGAATTTGACGAGTTTGACGTATCCGCCGTACTGCATGGGCAGACCGCAGCCCTCAGGACTGCCCCAGCTCACCAGCCCCTCCAACACCCATCTCTTCTCCTCCCCTTCTCCCGTCTGGAACACAATGGGCCCGCCACTGTCACCTGCACAGGCGTCCACCTGAAAACACAGATAATATTTACAACGGTCCAAGATGTTGATATATCATAAAGGGTATCATCTTACATTTGTTACCAGAAATTATACCTTATTTTTTTAAAGAATCATTGTGATTTACTTCAACTTACTTCAAAGAAGCCATGTGACAAGCTTCACTGGGTCAGTCTACTGAGGAAGACCAGAGTGACTGGTCGAAAGCTCTAGGTGAGAATTTCTTGTGTTGGACCAAAAGTTTTAACTCAAAACATGTAACTACGTACGTATACCAACACAGATGAACTTTCATGATACTTACCGTCATCTTTTTGGGAATGTCCTACCTTAATATTTTTTAGAACAAAATCAAATCTTGGTACCTACAAAAACTGGTCAAGACATTCTCTTGAACGGTTTTAATAATAATTGTATTTGGAAACCTTCTCCCAGGCACCATTGTAATCCAAAACCGTATTAGTTATTAGCTTAATATCTTATATACCACAGTAGATAGTAAAAAAAAGTGAATTTTGAATTTTTCGTAGGTCTTTAAATCTTTCTGCAACAAAGTTGAAACATCGAGGAAACATAGGAGGCATCGATGTAAATGGGGCAAATTATGTGTGTATGAACCTGTATTATGTATCGTTCATGTATTATACTTGGTTGTCATTTGCCATACTGAATCATATTATTTTACAAACGTACCATTATGTTATTCTGATGTTAGGTGATGTCCTTTCCTCTGTTTTTTTTTATTCCAACACGTAATCAAAAGAGATGGTAACGACACACTCAAGTTTTTAAAACTTATATTAAAGCCGCCACCTTTCCTCTCTTAAAAAAAAACAAAACACTTAACATGTGTAGTTCCTAACCTTCCCTTCCTCGTACCCAGCGCAGAACATGTTCCTGGTGACCGTCAGTCCGATGTTCTTCTCGGCATAGGCGGCCTCACACGTGTCGGGGTCGATAACCGGCACACGAGCGTGCTTCAGCTGGGCCGCCACCTCCCCGGTCTCCGTGGTACCCCAGCCGATAGCCACTCCCTCCGAACCCGCTCTCAGGTGTTTCTGTGCCGTCCTGTTCAGCATCGATGGTATAGTTAGTAATCTTCAAGCAGAGGTTTAGGCTTCGGCTTATTTTTGGCGTGTTTAGGCATTTTAACGGGCTCTCTTTTTTGTACTGGGACTTTGCCAATATGTCAGGTAGACTGCTATTGCCCCATCTATATGTCGCTATTTAAAGGCATCCAACGTAATTTGAGGGCGGTATTAATAAAGACAAATAATATAATGAGGACATCAGTCTTACTGCCGTTTACTGTCATTTCTTAGCACATTTTCGTCGTCATTTCATACTTTAAGCATTATAAACAGCCCAGGAACAAGCTATATGGGGCGCCTCTTTGTTTTGGGGCACCACCCATAAATTGCTAGAACCAGTCTATGATACGAAACAAGCATTTCCCGTCAGCGACATCACATTTGCCTCACAGATACCAGTGACTGATTCAACTTCTTACTACATTAAAAGACCAGGAAATCCAGTCTTGCCGTCCCGAAATTGCACTGGGTGCCTTTAAGACCCCAGTTCGTCCTTACAACGCAATTACTTAGACGCCACACAGTAAGGATAAATGTACGTACTGTCTTGTAGGCAGACAGACAGGCCGGACCCTGTCCGTTAGGGTGGCTCTCTTGGACAGCCGGATTAGCGCCACGTCATTGTCCAGCGTGAAGGGTTCAAACTGCCGATGGACATGGATCTCATCAACCTGAGGTAGCAAAAGACTGGTTAGTGTCAACGGTTTTGTTTAACACCACGGGAGTGTTTACTAATATATATGTTATTTGTCGTCGATGAAGGTTATGCATATGAGATACACAAGAACTTTGTCACCTGACAAATAAGGATCTGTACCATTCACGTATACGTACATCTTTGTGATAATGCCATGTTGATTTGATTTTATGGTTGGCATTCGCCCGCGAATAAAATTGCGCCCCCCCCCAAAAAAAAAACATTTTCCATTATAGATTCTAGCGGCTATTCTTACTTATTCCATTCATGTAACACTTCTTGTGATATCAAATCTATATGCACCATGTTAAGGTTAAGGATTTCTGATATGTATGTACAAACTATTTCCCACAAGTTAAATGTTGATTCTGGTAAGCTAAGGTTCTACAAAAAATGTAAAACGGCACATTCTATGGAAAAATACCTGGATTTAATCGATTTTAACATTCGCTCTGCAATAAGTAAATTACGAATTAGCGCACACCCTCTCGAAATTGAGAGAGGGCGATATAAGAAGCTCCAAGTGTATGAACGAATTTGCAAACATTGTACGTTGAATACGGTGGAAGACGAAACGCATTTTATATCAAATTGTACCCTCTATAGCAATGAACGAAATGAACTCTTTGACTTCGTCTCCAAATTCTACCCAAACTTTCACGCATATACAAATGAAAAGAAAACTACTCTCCTCTTAACATCCGAAAACCCACAAATTACAGAAAAAGTGGGACCCTTTGTCTTCCTCTGTCTTCAAAAAAGAAGTCAAACCCAGTAGTTTTCTACAAGTAGTTTCTTAATAGTTATCAGTAGTTCTATGTGTATTAATTATCTGTTTTTATACAAATGTTTCTTCTGTTCATGCAATTAGCCTTCGGGCATGAATTTGCAATAAACTTTCTATTATACTTTAAATCGTACAAAGCAGCTGCAAAATGAGCAAAGTAAACTGCGACAAAAAATATTGGAAAACGATATTTATGTTATACTCTGCCAAAATCAATTCCAGCCTTCATAACCACCTAGATTTCATAATAAAGGCAACCCTTTTTTGTTTTGACTTGTTTGACTTTTTCTATCCGCATGCTCGCATCAGTTTTGGGGTTCTCAGGGGATGTCATCCATATAATGAAATCAAGATGGCCTAAGTTACGAAGGGGCATGGCTAAGATTCATACCTGAAACTCCTGCACATAGTCGTCGTCCAGTGCCTCGTCCCGGTAGAACTTCCCCAGTTTGACCTTGATGTTCTCAAGGTTAATAACCGCACTGCTGTCTGGGAAGGTCACACAGTGCGCAGCCGTGATGATCCACTCGTCATTCAGGACAGCGCCGCCACAGATCTGAGGAAAGAGGAAGTCAGAAAGGAGGGGACCATAGGAACAGCTGGTTTGAGCACTGAAAATGAAGAGTCTATTATTCACCATACCATGGGCACTGGCGTACGTAACTAGCGAAATGGCCAAGTGGGTAGAGTACTAGTGCTCGCCTTGCATTCGGAAGGTCGTGAGTTTGATCCCCGACCGAGTCATACCAAATGCTTAAGAAATGAACTAGCCCCCTGCTGTACTATACTACGTATGGCCCAGGGCAATTGGAACGGGGATGGGCGCTGCCCTATGCGTCACTTGATGCGGGAAGAAACTTTAATTTAACTTTACAAACGTACCTAAGGTAGAAAAACAGTGTCCTGAATGTTTAAAGTTGAAACTTTTGTTCAAATACAAAGAGCTGTTCTCACGTAGAGCTTTCGACTGTCTAGGTGAGAACAGCTCTTTGTCACTCTGGTCTTCTTCAACAGACTGATCTAGTGGGACTTGTCACGTGGCCTCTCTTAAGTGGTAAACGATGTATAGTGATATATAGTAGTAGTATAGATATATAGTGGTAGTATGTGGTAAACGATGTCTGTCACGTGACAGGTTTCAGTGGGTCAGTTTATTGAAGAAGACCAGAGTGCCTGGTTGAAAGCTCTAGGTGAGAACATTTACCTGTGTTGGAACAAAAGTTTTAACTGACTACTCTAAACAGGAAATCACCTTTTGGACTTTTCCCATTTCCCCAAATATTCTGTTACGTACAATCATCCCCTTTGACGAAGTAAAATCTTGAATGTTTTCCCAAGAAAGTTAAGTGCTGAAAGACAGAGCGTACTGACCAGGTAAAAGAAGATGTGTCCGGTAGAGTTCTGCACGTTCCTGAGTATGGCTGCCTGCCACGGCCACTGTCCCTCCGCACTCACGTTACCGTTAAAGATGAAGGGAGTCTTGGCACCAGGACTCTTGCCGCAAACTAGGGACGAAAGAAGAGAATAGTACCAAACAAGGGGGTGAGAGAACAATGTCAAACTAGGGACGAAAGAAGAAAACAGTACCAAACTAGGGGGAAAGAGAACAATGTCAAACCGGAGGGGCGAAAAAAAAAGAGAACAGTACCAAACTAGAGTTCGGTCACTTCGGTGTGATGCAAATAAGGAGCTAATTTGCATAATTAACTAGGAAAGTCTGTAAATCTGCTGCATTCCATGATACATGTGCACTTGTGACATGCGTAATTGAGAACGTCAGAAAATATCAATTATGTAAATGACTAGCATAGATTATGTAAATGTGGGGGCAAATTCATAATTTACAGATTAACAGTGTGGCCGGAAACGTTTTGGGGGCAAACGGACGAAAATTCATCCACATATTAAATTAAATCAACATGGCCTAAGCAGTACGTTTTCTCACAGCTACTTGAATAGCAGGACCGTCCGTCCGTACCTGGTAAACAGGTGGGTTGTCTGCCGCTCCACTGCCCGTGACTCAGACACGTCCTCTGAGAAGGTCCGGACAGTTTGTAGAACTGCGACTCGCAGCTGTACACCAGGCGGGTGTGGAGCTTGTGGTACCCCGGGGGCAGACTGCGCGGCTCGGGGTCCCTACCCGCGGGATCGTCACCCCCCGACCCCTCCGCCGAAGGCTCGTCCGGGGTCGCCGCCGGGACGTGACTCAGGGGCCGCAGGCCGAAGAAAGTCAGAAGTCTGCTGTTAACCCTCCTGTTAGAGAACCAGAAGTATCATTATTTTTATTTTATTTATTCAATCTTCAGACAGCTGGGTATCCCATTTAATTTGCAATAAATTGATTGTCAATGGAGCCCAGTACAGTTACAGTAAAATCATTAATATGACAGAGGAAATAAACTTAAATCAAAATTTAACATAAGTAACAAAGGGTTGTTAGCCATATGTAACACAAGTAACCAAAGGTTTACATAAACAAAATATGTGATACAAATCAAAGTAAAGTAAAATCATTTACTATTTACTTATCATGGACAAGGACTAAATTTAAAGCTTGTATTTAGAACGAAGTTTAGTTTTTATATTTGTTACACCATGTATTTAAGACATTAGATTTGTTACACCATGATACTATGTGAACTCAAATAAAGACTATGGTTTGAGACCATGGAAGTTATTTGAAATTCTTTGACTACATACATGAAGGAAGCTCAACGTCCAAGTGTTTTCTATGGTTTGTTTGGTTCGTATTTCGCAGATCTTTTCTTTCTGTGGGTTTTCTTTCTGTGACAATATCAAATTAGCTAGGTAGTATTCATTTGCCAAACAGTTACAATTTGCCACCCGAGTAATAAAATATACTAGTTCGTATTTCGTCTCCCTCTTTGCGTTAAAAAATACCTCCAACAGTTCAATATAGTTGAGTAAGATTGGCACATACCGTCTGGGTGTACCAGACTGACCCTGTGCAGGCGGTAGGACCTTCCGTATGGCATTCAAAGGGGTGCCGGGGTCCTCACAAACAGCGACTAGAATGTAAAGAGATATCAAAGGGGAATCCATTATGTAACATTTTTGCACCAGAAATATTTTACTAGAAAGCTGAAAGGAACATTTGCAAAGAAAACGTATAATGTTCACCTTCAAATGATCTAGCGTACCAAATTACTGTTTGTTTATCATTATTAATAGTCATTTAAATGGTGACCAGCCCCTCCAGCTCTGTCCTGCTACATAATATAACCCAACACCACAGGGTGTCTGGCTGCTACAGCACCAGTTACCATGGTGACAGACGTCTGGTTTAGGCAAATAGACTTTATTTGTTAGGAGAAAAAGAAGAGTAGGAGGAAGAAGAAGAAACTGAGCAAAAACAATATCCTTCTGCGAAGATAAAAACCATGTGTTTTCTCTCTGCGAAGGAAAAAACAATATTTTTTCCTTCTGCGAAAGTAAACATAAACATTATGTTGGCCTTACATTTGGTGCAGACGGGCTGATGCCCGGTCCAGGTCCCGTTGGACAGACACCTCCTCTCCGGGTTACCGACGATCCTGTAGGGCGGCCGGCAGGTGTAGACCACCCGCGTCCCGGTCAGGAACGTCGGCGCCTCCGAGCCGAGCACGTTCCGGTCTGCGTTACCTACGTCACCGGGGTCATCACAGGTTGTTGCCATCACTGTAGGGGGAAAATGGTAATTGAGTGCCTGAGTGTATGTTATCTCACATTGATTATTGTAGCCCAGTTTGGTTAATCTCCAAGCAGATCCTAGGGTGGCCAAAGACAGTATCAAATTGGCAAGGCAGTACCCAAGGTGGCATATTGGACCCTCTCTGGCGGCTGGATACTGCCTGGCCAATTTGATACTGTTTTTTGTCACCCTAGGACCTGCTTGCAAATTACAGTCTGGCCAAGTACACCTAAAAAGATCATAAACTACCTACAACGAAGACAGAACAAGGCTACTCGTCTGTTTCAGTTGAAGCTGCAGTGGAGACCCTTGAACACTAGACTGCTAGTGAACAACTTTTAGAATTGTTCTCACAAATAGACCTGACTGTATGTGATAGCAGTATTACCAGAAAACTATGCTTGGTTAACAAACAGTAACAAACAACACAATCACAAAACTCGCTTCTATAGGCCGTCATTTACGCTAGATTTACCTAGCTAGAACGCATTCATTGAAAAGTATTGCTGTGTATAGAATACGTCAAAGTATGGAATCAAGTCTCAACAGTTACAGAGGTATTGAAAATTGCCGCAAGATTCGTTAACAACTATATATTCAATGGGCCAAGCAGTGTAAGCAGTATCCATTTCTGCTGAAAAAGCTGTTCTAGGATATACTGAAACTGTTGTAAAGTGTAATGCGAGGACTGACCGCAGTGTGGCAGTTCTCCAGTCCAGTTCCCAGAGGGCCGGCATTCCCTCCTCTCGTCCCCAACCAGCTCGTACCCAGTGTTGCACCGGTAGATGACGGCAGAGCCCTCCCGCTGGGGCTCTCCTTCCCAGAGTCGTGAGCCGTGCGTGGGCATGCCAGGGTCATCACACTGTTTCACTGGTCAAGAGATGCGTAGTTTAAAAAAAGCATCTTCCGTATTAAGCAAGGAGCTTTCATCACATCATGTGATGAAAGCTTCTTGTATTAAGGTATTCTACAGCTATACACTCAAACGAACAAAAGGATACATATGAATTAACCCATGTACAAGTACAGGTCTGTGTATATGAGTCACTAGATCAACATAATTGTTCAGTTTGGCGTATTACTTATCACACTAATACATGTAGTCCTAAGGTATTAATAGTCTTTGATGTATACATAATCGTATTGATGTCTGTTATAAATGTTCCTCGCCTGATTTGTGCTTTGAAAGTTCAGGGCAGAAAAAATGGAAATATTCTAAATAAGGCAATTTTTGTGATATTGACACATACTGCTTCACATTAGCACATTTGAGTCAGCATTTCATACTTAAGGTATGTAAAACTGCAGAAACAAGCCCCAAAATGAGTCCTTTATTTTCTGTGTGGTACCCTAAAATCAGCCCAGGGCCCTTTCAGTAACCATTTTCCATCAGAATCTGGGGAATTTCTGCTCCACGAGGGTCAATATAATTGGGGCAATGTGGTTTCAACTCAGTATGCAGATAAATGACTAGAATATTGGATTTGAAAAATCGGGTTTCCAAGCCCTATAACTCCATCGGATGCCTTTCTATATCCTTCCTGTTGTCCATCGCTAATTTATTTAGCACCCTTTCATAGACTTACAGTGTTTTTTTTAATTCATCAAGACGTTAAAACATAACAAGGACAGTGTGGCGCTGCACTCAAGTTTATAACTTATATTAACAGCGTCACACAACAAAATGCAATTAACATTTAAATACACAAATGACATATCTGTGCGCCGTAGTCCCACCACCCCAAGACATAAAACAATGCTAATGCTAACAAAGTTATTTGAAAATTAAGATTACATGTTAACCTATATATCATTGGCTGTTACTTACTACATCTGGGAGGTTCTCCACTCCACCGCCCGTCTGACACACACCACCGCTCCAGGTTACCCCGCGTCCTCTCGTACCCAGGGTGGCAGCTGTACGTCACAGAATCCCCCTCCACCGTCCCGGACACGACCATGTCGGCACGGGGGGCGTCTTCGGGCCGGCCGCAAGAGATCTCTGTTCAACACAAGAACCCGATTTACACCCAGATACAAACTGTAACATTTTGACAATCCCCCAAACTTACGGTTACGGATACTAAACGGTTTGTATTAGATTAACTCTTACATAGCCTACAAAACATGTCCTTCCTTACCAGTTATTGATCCATTTCCACCCATTTGCCGTTCCCTGTTGTTTTTGTCATGTGTTTTGTTATTGTATATTTGTATGTTTGGTGGTGAGTTTAAAATTAGCTATAGCTAGAGTACCTCACCACCATGTCTTGTAATATCCAAGTTGAATTGTAAATAAAAAAAAAACACAAGAACAGAAAAAAGTCGTCTGAAAAATGGTGTGCAGCGTCCTTGGTGCTGAACGTCTTTCACATGAGTTAGATTGTCAGAAAACTGGAAACTGGACAGGACTACGTTTTAAGAGGTATAAAGGATGCGAAATATATCAGGACAATCCAACGTTCACTTCAAAGAGAGACGGTGGACGATATAAACTCCCTGGCATGTTTAACCAATTGCTGACACCACGTACTCGAAACGTCGTGTGAATAAGGTCACGTGTCTGTAACCGTGACTCTCGCGAGATCACGTTGTGAAGTGGTTGGTCATTAATTATCCTGATGAAGGTGAGAGTGGTGGTTGAAAATTTGATCATTGTGAATCCTTTTATTTAAAATAAAGTTTAGCATCTAACTATGATTACGACCAACACAGATGAACTTCCATGATAGTCTTTCACATGACTTTATGTTCATATGATTTATTTATTAAAGTGAAGCAAACCTGGGTGTATTGTTACATGTTTCTCAGATAAAATAAGAAATGACAAAGACATACTGCAAACTGGGGACTCTAAGCTCCATCCTCCGTCACTCTGACATCTTCTTGTCAGAGACCCGGATGTCAGCTCGTACCCAGGGTTGCATGCATACGTCACGTCTTCGCCCTCGTCTACCTGGTCTCGTCCTCGGGGTGCTCGAATGACTGCATTTGGTGGTATGGCCGGCAAAGAACAAACGCGTACTACATAAGAGGAGAAAGATGCGATTCAAACATTTAGCATGATTGTGAAGAAGACCATGTAGATTGACTACAGAGGCATTAAACACGTATTCAATTCTTTTATACATGCATATTTATTACATGTTAACTATGACGTTGCATATTACTTAGATTAAGAACTCAACCCTCAACAAAACGAGTGAAGCAAAGTACGGAAAAATACCACACCGAATCAAAAGACAGGCGAAAAAAGCCCAGACTATGCATGATGTACAAAATGACTTATAAACTGGTGGACGTGCCAACTACTAGTACTAGTACGAGCTCAGAAGAACACCTTCAAGTATCAAAGTTCTCAACCAATATTCAAAGTGTTCAAAAACTCATTTTTCCAACAACTATCGTAGAGGTAACTCATATGCATTGCTACCAAGTACGGTAGAGGCATCATTGTTAGATAGCTTTAAACAATATTTAGAGTTAGATGTTCAAAGGTTAGGTGTAACAGGTCTTTCGGCGTAATGTAGCCATCTGCCGCCGCACCGCGTGCCTGCGAAGTTGGTGTGTTACGCCGAGTGGCGGTTATGCTGCCTGCACAGGTACAGGTATACAGAAAAAAAATACACAAAGAGTTGTAATGCATGGCATTATTAAGCATTTCTTTAAAGAATATTCACAGCCGAAACTTACCACAGGTCGGAAGGACGTCGTTCCACTGCCCATCGTACAGACAGATGATCTGAGCGCCCCCTATCAGACGATACCCGTCATTGCACCTAAATGTGAGCTGACTGCCGATGTTGTGGTGAGACGCGGGTGGTTGTTGTCGTTGTTGTTGTCGATACCCGGTTCGGACCACTGCACCGTTGGTAGGCGCGCCCGGGTCCCGGCAAACCTTCACTGTAGAACAAATCAATAGGAAAGATAGAACCTTACGTTCACAAATCACACCTTTTGTCTTAAAATTGAAAACTAAAACATATTTTGGTTGCACGCTAACTTTGATCGCAAAGTTCCAGGGTTCGAAGTACTTTTCGCAGGTTGCCCACTAGGCACCCTAAAAGAAAAGCTAGCTTGCCCATCAATGTTTCAGGTTAATTTGAGACACGATTGTTCGACTTTGATGGCAAGTATTGACAGTCCAAGGTGTTCTATCTATAGGTATTCTATATATTCTATATGAATATCCAGTGTAGCTGTATACACATGATGGTACGACAAGGTCTTGTTTAGAAGGACAGGTAATACTGTTGAATACAGGAATATAAGACCTGTTGGTTATGATATCATCTTTTTTCACATCAAATTGTTACCAATTTCATTATCTCAAAATTTGAATATGTAGGAATCTTAATCTTGTTTTTTTCGCCTATAGCATTAAATTTGGAATCTTTGGAGGATGTCATCCATAAAATAGGGCCTGCAAGCCCTTTTTCGTAAGGCGTAATCAGGCCGTTTTAGACTTCGTAATTCGTAGGCAGCCTCCGCAAAAATCAACGTAATTCGTAATTGGACATTAGCCGCAAATCGTAAAGTCGTAATCAGCTCTGAAACTTTAACGTAATTCGTAATAGGCGGCGAAAATTTTGCGTAATTCGTAATCACTACCCCCCCCCCCTTGCAGGCCCTCATAAAATTTACTTGTTGTGACTTATTAGTAAAACAAAATTATCTCCCTGTGTCTTACCACATGACGGGAGCGGGTGGCTCCAACTCCCTGACGCCTCACACCGGGACGTGCTGGAACCGCGCAGGACGTAACCGCCGTTACACTCAAACCGGACAGTTGACCCCTCCGTGTAGCTGTCCGAGGGCCTTGATCTCAACTGACCATTTGACGGAGTCCCCCGATCACGACAGACAACTTCTGGCGCTGAAAGAAGTATAAAAATATTTTTGGCGACGTCTCAGGGAGGAGCCTAATGATACAGTATTATGTGCAGTTTGCAAGAATTCTAGGAATTGTACAGGATTTTATCCACAGGCATGGAATGTGCACAGGAATGTCTCACGGCTCTGTTTGCTGACACATTCCTGGAAACCCTTGGGAAAACCTGTCTGCCCCAAATGCCCTACTTTCTGTGACCCCGGGGCTCGTTCACTATACACTCAGGGGAGGAGTGCACTGTATCTATCGTACCAAGGCTTCCTCAAAATAATGAAATCATGGCAGTACCATGCAAACAATAACCCTAACAGCAACCACCATTGCCAGTCTTGTTGGCATTTGTTTTTACTTTATAAGTACTAAGTACAAAACAGTGATTGTAACTGCTCAAACTCACAGACCTTTGCTGTGTCATCCAGGTTCCAAAATGTACAGTGTCATTAAGACCATGTTGAATTTATTATATAGATGACCGTTTCAAGAAAAGGTTTTGACCATACTGTAAATCGTACAAAGCAGCAGCAAAATGAGCAAAGATATGCCGTATATTGAAAAAAAAGTAATTGAAAAAAAAATACCAATGTCGTAGAAGGCCAAAATCAATTCCAAAGGAAAAGAAGAAAATGTGAAGAAATGAAGATGAAGATTCTATTATTCGCTATACCATACTCTATGTGTTTAGTCATTTGTTCAACCTTCATGACCACGTAGATTTCATAATGATGAAGGCAACTTTATTTTTTGGCCAAACTTTTTATTCGCACGCTCGCATCAATTTTAGGGTTCTCAAAGGACAACATCCACATAATCAAATCAACATGGCCTAATTGGCCTGATAAAAAAACATTACAAGCGTGTATTATTGTACTGATAAGTTCAAAGAACAGAGAACTGACCGACTTCGTGCTGGCAGTATCGACCGTGAAACGCCGCGGAACATTCGCAGCTTCCGTCCGGCTTACAAACACCTCCGTTCCGGCAGTTACAATCTGGAGGGTAAAGGTAGAAATCACAGATAAGAGCAATTGTATTTAAACTGAATCATAAACTTAAAAGTATTCGTTACAAAACTTGAGTTAATTAAGTTGGCTTATTGGTATCTCTTTGCCAAAACGAAATGTATGTAGCATGTACAAAGATATATTTGTTAGGAGATATTCAAAATGAGAAAGAAAATAACTAAAAGCAAAAGCAAATCTTCCTACATACATATACACCAATCTGAAAACGTTTCTTTTTATTTAAAAAACATAAAAAGTACAAGACACAGAGACGGGCATTTCCCTCAAATTGCTAATTTCAGCATCACCACATGCAGTTCCAGAATAAGCCGCTAGTCACGTCACTTCTTCCCTAGCACAAGAGCTATCTACCATACAAAATTCCTGATCCTAGCATGTCCAGATCACGAGATATGAATCAAAAACGGAAGTTCCGCTGCAGTACCATAACAAGCCGCTAAGGGGCCCAAAATCTAAGTAAGTTTGAGGTCTCGCCAAAACCTACCCACCTACATTGTACCAAAATTAAATATCAACCCAATCCATCCAAGCTGCTCAAGTTATCGTGTTGACATACAGACACACATAGGAACGCCACCGAAAACATGATCTTAGCGAAGGTAAAAATAGATCAAAATTGAATGTTTTTTCATAGGCAGTTATAAACATTTGTAGTACTGACCTAGTGTGCAGAACTTGCCGTACTTGTTGTTCGGACACCTGGCGCAGCCGTCAGACTCCCCGTACCTGACGTCACGACATTCGGCACAGTACCGGTACTGCGGACAGATCTCATCGTGATTCACGTCACCGCACGGCCGGCAGTACGGCTTCCAGCGGTAGAAAGCTGCACACCTGCGGGTAGATATTGAATACGCGCCTCGGTATTTGTTCAAAGCCTACAGATACAGTACCATTGAAGACGTCAAATGTAATTTCAGGGCATTATTTTTATTTAGTACACTAGTAATACCAGCTAAAAAGGGTCTGAAAACACTGAACATGTGGATTAATTGGACCTCCGTGGACTTGCCTATTGTTCTTGGGATTTTAAAGGATCTTCATGAGACTTCCCCAGTAAAACGCATGTTTACTTCTTTTTCGTTGTATTTTGATTTGGAAACTTTGCTTTTATTACATATGTGCAAATAGATAAAATCAGGGCATTACAACTATCCCTCAACAGAGACGGGGGGCGCCACAGACTTTCCGCAACCTATGATCCACTGCTCACGGAGTCACGTGTGTTATCTGCGTGACGTCACGGAAGCGGTGGATTGCTCATTCCTTGAAAAAGACTTGAGTTGTACAGTCAAAAATTTGGGTAAGTCCAATTTCTTGTGTTGTGGTATTATATTACTGTTCAAACTTGTTTCACAATCAATCAATGAATCAATCAATCAATCAATCAATCGGTCAATCAATCAAACAATCAATCAACCAAACCATACAGAAGTGACTCACGCCTTGTATGAGATGACGAAGCTGAGACCGGTGGATCCGCACGCACAGGACTCGGTCTCCACGTCACACAGACCCCCCACGTCGAGATCAAACGTCGTGACGCCGCTACTCAACAGCAGCAGGGCCGATACAACGGTAAGACCTGGAAACATGGCAGAGAAACAGAAAATAATTCCATGAGGTTGGTAGGACATAAGATATAGAGATTTTTTTCCTAAACTTTCTTTGCTATATCTTTGTTTCTATTGATTTCTTTTGCAAGCATTATGTTAGTTTCATAATATTCATTTATATGTATTACTGCTATATTTTTGTTTTCCGTTAATTCATTTTCAATCATTATTATTATTATTGAAAGTGTATTGCAAATACATGCCGGAGGGCTAATTGCAGTTACAAACAATATGTATGAAGAAAGAAAGAAAATACAATGGTATAAAAGGCTACGTCTAACATTACACTACATTCTACAGCATACATGGTGCTAGTTTTGCTGGGTCTGACTTCTTCTAGAATTCTTTTGAGACAATGGGAGACGAATTTATCCACTTCTTCTATAATATGTGGGTTCTTTGATTTTAGTAGTATAATTGTCAAGTCTGCAAGGAGGAGGGCCTTGTACAGGCCCTGCATGCTTCTTACTCCCTCCGGTACATTGTTTACCTTTTATACAATTCTTTACTTCAATATCCTGTTTATACCTTATTGTACATTTTTGTACAAATAAATAAAAAATAAACAGGATGAAGACAGTCGTCTCATCACGTCTTTCACCCCCCCCCCACCCCACACACACATACACACATAGCAAGATGGAGTAGTTGGGCCGTAATACTTAGTAACCTGTTGGCAGGGTAGCGGATCTCGGGGAGCGGACTAAAGCTAACAAGGCTGGACTCCAGCTAGGCTAAAGACGTATTGCTACAACAAGGAAACATGACATTAGCCAGTGCAGTGAACTTATCCTGGCACGGCGGTAACATCTTATCGCGTTCCAGAAGTGTACTTCAGAATCTGTGATTGAAACCAGACTGTGTATCGTGGGATCTTGGACACAGATTTGAAGGCATGCCAACCAGGATCAGGAACTTCCTTGTTTTGTACAGTACAGTGGTTTCTTAGTAAGCAGCGTTTTATCCAAGGCGATTTCAGGGCAGTAAACCTGAGTCAATTTCCTGGAAATTTTTTTTTTTTACTTTCATAAGTCGAATCATTGTAATATCTGTGAGGCCGAAATGCGATGTTGCTGACGTAACTGACTGTTTTATGGGTGGTACTCAAAAATAAAGAGACTCCTCACATAGCTTGTTTTTGGGTCATTTCAAACCAAACAAAAGTATAACAAAACGATGTCAGTAAATGTCGCTATCAGACATATTTCCTCATATCCAGAATATTGTTGTCGTTGTGCATCGAGCACCTTTAATAACAGGTTTGTTGTAAACACTAGCGGGCCGTCACTGCATTTTACTTGGCGGTAATCTGGTATTTCCGTCCGACATGATCTTGAACTTGACTGAACTTCCCCATGAAAGGTCATGCTGACTTCGGCAAAATTCGACTGAAGACTCACGCGACAGTACTAAGAAACTGCGAAGACAAGGAAGTACCCAGCCTCATTCGCAGACTTGTGAGGCGGCGGCGTTAAATTTTTTTTCTGGGAGCGACGCGAGTTCCTGCGACCGCCGAAAACCTCTTTTCCTGGCCTGGCAAACTCCCACGGCGGCAAAACCGTCTCTCCGCGGCATAACCCGCGTCGCTCACCGGAAAAAAATAACGAGGACGCCCCACAAGTCTGCGAAGGAGGCTAGAACTCCATTGAACTTCCTCGTGAAAGGTCATTCCAAGGAGGTTATAGGACCTCCTTGGTTATGCTGACTCCGACAAGTTTCGTGTGAAGACTTCGTGACCGAGTTGAAGCATCGAGGACAAGGAAGTACAAAGGACTCGACATCGGGAAGGAGCTTTCTGTTTGAATTAAGCTCCTAGGAGGTACCAAGGAGCTTGGAAGTACTTGGTATTCAGTGTGCCCTTCTCAAAAACCATTCAAAGAAACTGAATAGCCAACAATACGCCATGTCTGCAAGATTTCGCGCGCGTCGTCTCAACAATAAAAGAACCACAGTCTTGCAAACTCTCAAGCCAAAAGGGCAACAGGGGGTCTTTTACATTTGATTTAGCTTCGCACAGTGTCGAAAACAAGAATGCATGTGTTGAATTAGCCTCTACCAGGCTTCGGGAGGCGGCTGGGAATAGTGGAAATTGGCCAAATAGAGAGATAACATGCTGAGGGAGTTGGTCCGCTAGAGGGTACAGTTCGCCGCACTCTCTAGTCTAGACAAGGAAGTTGGTCCGCGCCCGGCATGTTATCTATCTTTTGGCCAATTTCTACTCTTTCCAGCCGCCTCCCGAAGCCTTAGTAGAGGCTAGTGTTGAATGACTGTGTAGTTGCAGTTAATATTAAAGTCCTCTCAGTGTAATTTCTTTCCGGACATTATACAGAACTTAGTTTAACTAATACAACAAGCTCAGCATTCTTATTGGAAAGTTCTATGGCCTGATAGTGATAGTCTCCACCAGACTTCTTTTGCAGGCTGAATAAATCCTAGAAATCGGCCTAAAAAGGGTATTAATTGGCGAATTTGATCGTCGATGGCCGGCCACCTTCTCTTGCCAATTAATACCATTTTGGGTCGATTTCTACGATTTATTCAGCCTGCAAAAGAAGTCTGGTGGAGACTGTAATAGTGATACGACGCGTGGATTTTCGCACGTATGGAGTTTACCCGACGATAAGTTTATCAAAAGATAAACACCAAACACAAACACTGATTAGCACAATCGTAGGCAGTGGCTAGCAGATAACTCGATCAACTCACCTTGTACATGAGTCATGGTGGCCAGTCTCAGTCACAGCGTTCTTGCACTAACCGCTGAGGAAGTTCAAGTGATGACTGCTCTTCTGAGCTTTCTTAGGAGTAAGCTTTCCGACTCATTGCGCCTGCGCACTGCTCTGACAGACAGGGGAAGGTCCTGACACCTTGTGACGTCATGCAGGGACGGGCACAATAACAGGAAGTGACGTCACGAAATTATAATACTATGGCAAGGGCTCAAGTTCCGAGAAGGCATGAGGGGTAGTCTCAGGAAATCCCTAGTTGTAGTTGGTCCAAAAATTCTATTGTAGAACATGTTGACTTGATTATAACATCTATGCGCGCACGTTTCAAAAAGTTTTCGACCATACTGTAAATCGTACAAAGTAACTGTAAAATGAGCAGATAAATTGCAAAACAAATTAATTATAATTAATCAAAATGTATTGGAAATCGAAAACAATGCTAATGTCATAGAATGCCAAAATAAAGTACAAACTTAAGGAAAAGACGATATTGTGAAGAAAGTAGAAGAGTCTATCATTCGCCATGCCATATTAGTATACAACCTTCATGACCACTTTTTTTTGCCAATTTTTTTATTCGCACGCTCGCATCAGTTTTGGCGTCCCCACAGGATGTCATCTGTATAATCAAATCAACATGGCCTTAAGATGAATAAAACCGGACATCCTTAAGGCACAAAACCTATCAGATATGATAAGCCCATCCTTCTACAGAGGGACATTGTTAAAAAAGTTGACTGACTTCCCGTTTCCTTTACAATACCTGGATGGTTCTAATCTTGACATTGTGCAAAGGAAAGGTGTGGCTGTTACAAATGTATATATCTATAGGCCACAGCAAGTACTTTTTATGGGTGACATCAGGGCTCGCATTAGTCTTTTGTCTAATTTTGAAAAAAAAAAAAACAAGAAATTTTGTTGCCTTCTGACAGTGGTTACCATGCCGAAAATGGGCAAAGGTGTCTGTTGCCATGCCGGAAAGTGGATGGTAGAGAGGAGACAAAAAAGGCTCTGATTTAATGTTTTGTTTCTTACTTTGATGCAGTGATATGTGGTGTCGGCTGTGCATATGTCATATTCCCACTGAATCAAAAATATTTGTACAATGATTGAGTCAAAATTTTAAAATGTAGGAACCTTGTTTTTTCGGCCCACCTTGTTTTTTTTTTCGATTTGAAGTCTGTGGAGGATGTCATCCATAAGGTTTATGTGCTGTGGCCCTATGGAAAATACAACGTTGGACTATTCGCAGCAATATACCATGTATTATAATCACCGTAAAACAAAGTACATGTAATTACCTTCATTAAAATGAGGACAAAGGAAGGAAAGGCTGACACAAATGCACTTTTAATGGCATATTTTCTTCAATGTGTGTGTGTGGGGGGGGGGGTATGTTGAAATACAACTGGTTTGACCTCTTGCTCTTTCCCACCCACACAACATATATAGACATTGTTTAAAGTAACTCATTGACAAGTAAAGTACACATCAACAGATCTGAGTTTGGTTTGTTAGATTGTTTACCATTGAAGAATAGTTTTATAAAGTTCCCAAAATTCCAAATAGAACGTAGGCCACACCAATTTAACCTGTTGGTTCACGGATTCGCCCACTTCATTTTTTTCTGATTTGCAAAAAAAAAAAAAAAACATTTCAGCCTCTGAATTGACTCCAAAATGCTAATATTTTGACCCTAACAGTTGAAGGAAGTCCCTTCTTTTCAGAGATGTCACAGTTTTCCATCTATCAATGCAGTGGTTTGATTAAAAGTTTGAAATTCATTGTTTGAATTACAAACAAGCCTGGTATGTTGACTTCATGGCTCCTATCATAGCATTTGGGGCTATCATAGGATGCCTAGGTCTGTTTTAATATTTTTTTCGCCTTGTCGCTTCATAGTTTTTTCTGAAAAAATCCAAGAACCAACAAATCAAATTGGTGTGGCCTTAGCAACTAATAAAAATACAGATGCTTTCATGATATTCCACCTCTTCAATGAACATGATGTATAATGTTGTATTGAGTGTATATCATACACATTGCAAACATTGCCTTAACTAGGGACTAGAAGTTGCATTGGTAAGGCCTTGGTAAAAATACAATGTAGCAACTTAAGTACACATATCTGTGAAGAGACAGTCATACGAAAAACGGGCATTTACAAATTGTTTTGCGACACATGATAATATTTTTACTGAAAATAACAATAATTATTTATACATAAAAATACAGGCAAACTAAGTACATGCACTTGTAAAGGCTTTGTCCATGTTTGGAAAATCAACACTTGTCATCATCAGTCATGTGACTTGTGTTATTATTAGCCATACATATTCTAAAATATTATAAGCAAATATAACTTCACATATATATCATATTCCTTATGCTGTACAACTTTGGACATCTGCAGAGTACTAGTAGCAATCACTAAATAATAAAGGGAGTTTTAATCTGGTTTGGGCACTAAACTTTTTTTTTGCCATCTTCTTGACAAGGTTAGGCCACACCAATTTAATTTCTTGGTTAACGGATTTTTCTAGAAAAATAATGGCCTAGGCATCCTATTATTGCCCAAAATGGTACGATAGGAGCCATGAAGTCAACACACCAGGCTGGTACAAAATTTAAACAATGAATTTTGAACTTTTAATGATACCATTGCATAGAAAGATGGAATAACTGTAACAACTAGGATGAAAAGGACTGTTTTCAACTGTTCAGGGCACAATATGAGCATTTTGCAGTTGATTCTGGATTTTTATTTTTATTTGCAAATCAGAAAAAAATGAAGCGGCGAATCCGTTAACCAAGAAATTAAATTGGTGTGGCCTTATAGAACCTTGTTTCTTGATTTTTTACATTTATTGACACAATCACAGGAACATGGCAAACAATTTACAATTCCCTACAATATTGGATATACTCCATTGGCAATTGTTTAATTTTACCAGGGGTGCCACCAGAGTATACAGTGCAATTTTACGGAATCCAGTGCAATTTTATGGAATACAGTGCAATTTTACTTGTATACAGTGCAATTTTATGGAATACAGTACAATGGAATTAGTATACAGTGCAATTTTACTAGTAAAATTACACTGTATACTAATACGAGTGCACTGTATTCCGTAAAATTGCACTGTATTCCGTAAAATTGTACCGTATTCCGTAAAATTGCACTGTATTCTGTAAAATTGTACTGTATTCCGTAAACTTGCACTGTATTCGGTAAACTTGCACTGTATTCCGTAAAATTGCGCTGTATTCCATAAAATTGCACTGTATTCCGTAAATACTCTGGCACCTCTAGATCTGTTCACTAGCATGATTGACATAGCAACCATACGAGCCATTGGTCTAGTACCATGCCTTATCCTGAGTTAGTTTTCCTGCTTAGTCTAATTAAGCAAGCTACTTTCAATTTGTTCTCTGGCTTGTCATATACCACAGCCTTTGACCTCTACCTGCATGCAAAGGTCAAAGAAATCAGCCCTATATTTTAGCTCAGTGAAAAAAAAGTTAGAAATTTGTCCTTTGCAAGCAAATAGAGGTCAAAGAAGAGAAAGTCACAATATTAACATGGCAGCACGTTTCATAAGGCCACACCAATTCAATCAATTGGTTCTTGGATTTGCCCACTTCATTTTTTTCTGATTTGCAAAAAAAAAAAAAAAAAAGATTCTGGTTGTGAATCAACTCCAAAATTCTCATATTTTGAGCCTAACAGTTGAAGAAAGCTCCTTGTCTTCCTATAGTTGTTACAGCTTTCCATATTAATGCATTGGTTTGACGAAAGTTAAAAATTATTGTCATAATTATAATTCAGCCTGGTATATCTCCATAGAACATAGCTTTTGGGGCTAGCATACAATGCCTAGGCCTGTTTTACTTTTATTTCTTTGTCGCTTATGTCGTTTCATATTTTTTCTAAAAAAAATCCAGGAAGCACCAAATCAAATTGGTGTGGCCTTATAGTTACAAGCATTTGGCAAGTTCGACCTCTCACAGCAGCAGCAAGTGTATAGAAGACATACTTTGGCATGAAGGACCATCAGTACTTCTACTAGGTTTTTTTTTCTTGGTCAAACAATTAGCATTTACAAGAGACTGCATAGAAGCTGTTGATGAAACATTTTGACAGTGTATGGGATAGAACTGGTTTAAACAAGGCAAATGCTATAGGTTAAACTACTTACCGAGTATACAGATACAGATATCAGTAATGGTAGAATTCCACGACAAACATGTAGCAATATTAGGCCACACTGACTTAGTTTTATAGATGACATCCTCTGAAGACCTCACACTAGTGTGCATGCACAGGCAAATAAAAAAAATTCCAGCCAAAAAAAATGCTGCTAAACCACAGGAATACAAAGCTGGTATTGTGAATTTGTGGTAGTACATAGCGATTTTTAAGGCAAGCCGGCACATGCTGGCCTTTTGCGGCATTTATGAGTCGGCACTGTACTGTGTTCTTGAGTTTCGTGGAGCTTCAGCAGCCTGGGTGCCATCCTCCGTAGTTACTGTCGACTGCCTATAGTCGCTAGCTACCATAGACTCGAAGGATGGTACCCAGGCCAGAGCCTCGGAGGAGATAATTTTTTTGGGGGGGGGGCAAAATCAATGTCATCCATGAAATTAAATCAGTGTGGCCTAATCTAAAGCTTGGTCTTACTGAGCACCAAACTAACTAAAATTGCACTAAAGGTTATTACAGAATATTGACCATCCAAAATTACAATCATACAAAAATGCCAGAAATAATAAACAGGCACATATATAATACCTGGATAATAATAGGAGGGATGCATGTTTTATAACAATTAAGTAATAAAATAGCAAAATGAATGTAATTTTGAAACAACGTTTCTGCATTCCTTACAATTCTTACACAATGTACAAAAGAATGCTTTGTATAAATAATTTAAAACAGCAATGTTCCCTTGCTATCACATTGTAGAATGTACATAATTATCTCAATTGTTTGAAGCTCCTTGCGATTACATAACATGACCTCCTATACAAGCACCATATAGACAGCATTAAAAGTAACTGCATAAATCATACATATTATAGTTACCATAACACATAATTCTCTCATACAAAATGTCAATACATATTTTTTTTTACAATGATCCATGACAGTTCTCAAGCTAGCAATGGCACGACATTGTTACTCTGTATTTACAATTTAAATCTCACTTTTTTGGCTTTGTTCTTTGACGTGACTCTTTTTGTTCTGTGAGGATGTGGGATTTTGGATATAAGGGAAGAGGGCCACATCATTTCTATGTATACTTCCCATTCTAATCTATGCTGTACTGCTATTACTTGTTAGGCCACATTGACTTAATTTTATGGATGACATCCTCTGAAGACCCGCAAACTAGTGCGTGCGGGCAAAATAAAAAAATTCCAGTAAAAAAATGCTGCTAAACCACAGGAATACAAAGCTGGTATTGTGAATTTGCATCTTTTACAACAAGCCGGCACATGCTGGCCTTTTGTGGCATTTATGATTCGGCACTGTACTTGAGTTCCGTGGAGCTTTGGTAGCCTGAGTGCCATCCTCCGTAGCTACCGCCGGCTCCCTATTGTTGCTAGCTACCATGGACTACGGAGGATGGCAACCAGGCCAGAGCCTCAGAGGTGATTTTTTTTAGAAGACTGCCAAAAATCAAGTTCGCGCAGATGTCATCCATAAAATTAAATCAGTGTGGCCTTATAGCAGTAAATATCTTCCTGAATTCGAAAGAAACAATCATTTACGTCAAGTGTTAGGACATGATAAGTCCCAGCAACAGCTGATCATTTGGCAAGAATCGAAACATCTTACTATAACAAAATTCTTTTGGCATACATTATTTGTCCTGTAATATGACACCATACATGTACATAAGGGCTGCTGACATCAATAAAAAATATGACATTCTCTCTGTTTTATCATTACTAAATGAGTATGACATTTTAGTTTTACTTCACATTGTTACTTGCATTGTTACTTGGCGATACGTCGGATAAGTTTAAGTGAGACATTATTGTTTAGCTAATTCAGTCATCACCTCTTCAACATTTTAGAGGGAAAGTCAACTTGGCTTGCTTAATTTTGAAAAGAATTGAGGTAGATACCACGAATAAGGCTGCTAACGGCTCTCTCACATGTACAACTGCTACAAGCCTGCACATGTATATTTAATCTCACAGAAGAGTTGTTTTCAGTCAAAATATTAATATACAGGCTCTATGGTTAGTACCGGTACAACTTGATATGATGCAATTACTTAATAGACCAATCCTGAAGCCCTGCCCACCTCCAAAAATGCAAGTATATGATGGACATGAAGCCGCTCTCTCATTGGTCGAACTGCTAATTGCCTTTCTCTCATTGGTTGAACTTCTAATTGTGATGGACATTTGGGATCTATTTGACATTTTTGTGATGCCAATCTGGATGCAGAGAGGTACAGGAGAATTTCCAGTACTGGATATACATTTGTACTTCTATATGTTGGCACGAGTCATAAAAAAACTCATATGAAACCTCATTATAAATAGGCGGCTGACCAAAAAGAAAGGCTAGTGTTGGGGGTTTTGCTAGGGTTGGTCGGGTAACCAGAAACACAATACATGTATTTCTTGTCCTAGGCCCAAGCATATTTGCAATAAATTAATGACACAATCTTTAACAAGGTCTATCACAGTCAGGTATCATTATACAACTATATTATAGCTTCAACCAATCAATGCACAGGGTTCGAAATACTTTCTATTCCTAATCCAGATTACCCTCAACACTGGCTGTTTATTTCAGAAGGCAAGCCGTGAGCCAGGCCACATGTAAAGTATCACTCACATGCTGGCCATGGCAGGACACAGTGTATTTCAGAAGCCGTAAGCTGGACCGCTGTAAACTTTGATACAAATGTTGTTTTGTATGCCCAAAAAAGGTTTGGCAAATAAAAAGATTTCCTTCATTATGAAATCTATAAAGTCATGAAGGTTGAACAAATGACTAAACACACAAGAGTAAGGTATGGCAGATAATAGACTCCTCATTTTCATCTCTTCACATTTTCTTCATTTGACTGATTTTGGCATTCCTCGACCTTACTATCGTTTCCAATGTTTTTTGGCAATGTACGGCATATTTTTGCTCATTTTGCAGCTGCTTTGTACAATTTATAGTATGGTGGAAAACTTTTTCTTTTGGAAACAGATGAAAATTCATGCACGCATGGATGTCTTCCATATAATCAAACCAACAAAAAAAACTTCATCTACAATACCAGAGACTGAACCTGTAGAAGAAAATTGCACTAAACTTTCTATCTTTACAGTAGCGATGATTGTGCAGTATTAGCCATGGAGACTTTGGAACCCAGTACTTGAACCTTTGGTCATGTTGGAGCCTGTTCCAAGGCACTGATTGGGCTGTTACTCCAGGAGGGGAGGTCGGGGGTCCCTGGAACACAACACATTACACAATCATCTACTGTTATTCACTTTATGTTTGTAGTGGCAAAAGTTTGCAGTCTGAGAAAAATGTTTGCAGACCGATATGTTCACAGTGGTGGCAGGTGCAGCAAAAAGAAAGTCAGCAAATTATTTGTTCAGATACGTAAGTGACCATGACAATCGTGATTATTAAAGTCCTGCAAAAAACATGATTTACAGTAAGTTAGCACAAGAAGCATGTGCCCAAAAGGACCTAGTGCAATTTCAGGGTGGCAAAACTGGATATTCAAAGTCAATTTCTTAGTAGTAAGTTGAGCAAATCTAATCTGGTAGTATAATGATATCTGCGAGGCAAAAAATGTGATATCACTGATGTTGTTTGTTTTGTATAGTAGGCTGTTTCTAGCTAGTATTTATGGGTGGCACCCAAAATATTAAGGGACTCCTCATGTAGGTTGTTTTGAGGCTATTTCCAATGCTTCAAGTATGAAATAATGATGAAAATGTGCTACGAAATAGCAGTTCATCATGTCTATATCAGACAGATTTCCTCATCTAAAATATATTTTGTTTGCCATCCTGAGGTACAGATGCAGGGGTACCTTGTATTTGATTGACACGCAAGCACTTTCTCATTGGTCGAACTGCTAATTGTTGTTCTCCCATTGGTTGAAGTGTTAATTGTGATTGACAATCTGGTCTGCACCATTTAAAGCCATGAGAAAGGGGTCATCAAGAAAAAATAAAAACAAAGTTACCCATAAGAGCTGAGTCGTCTACTACAGCAGACACTTGGAGAGTGCTGGGGTCTACGAACTCTGTGACTGGTGACTCCCCTATACCTGGCACTTGGAGCTGTTCTGGGTTGTGGTAGCTAGCGTCACTATCTGTTATGGAAAACAAAAACAACAACACATTTGATTTAGCACTATAAACAGAAATCTACTTCTTCTTTCATACATCTTGAATGTGCTAAACAAATTGTTCTAATCTTTAACTGAGGTTGCACTGTTTTGAACTACATGTATATACTTGGCTAAGAAAAACAATATAAATTTTGACCTACATGTATCCTTTATACACCATGTTGATTTAATTATATGGATGACATCCTCTGGGAACCCCAAAACTGATGCGAGCGTGCGAATAAAAAAAGTTTGACAAAAACAAGTTGTCATCATTATGGAATCTACATGGTCATCAAGGTTCAACAAATATTAGACTCTTAGTCCGACTTCATTTTCTTGTCTTCACATTTTCTTCTTTTCCTTTGGAATTGCTTTTGTTTTTGTTTTCCAATATTTTTTTTTTGCAGCATACACTTGCCTATTCGGCTGCTGTTTAGTATGATTTACAGTATGGATGAAAAAGTTTTTTGGACTGAACAAAAATTGATGCGCGCACGGATGTCATCCACATAATCAAATCAATATGGCCTTACCAACAAATATATACCTACTAAAAGATTACCCAATACCATCTTGTCAGCGGACAAATGTTTCTTCCTTACCATTGGATGGGACAGTTGGGACAGTATCCATGGCCGTTCCATCAGACAGCATCTCCCCTACCGAGCCAAGCATTCTATCTTGCAACAGCACTCCGGCTGGGAGCTCGGCAAGAATGTAGGCTTGTGAGGAACTGTTTATGAAGGAAAGATCATTCGATTGTAAGTTTCCTCCCATGTTCTGTGTGTAAGCCGGAGGCTGGCTTGTTGTAGACTCTACATATGGCACGGCATTTGGCATCTGCACGTTGGGAGGCTGCACCTGCATGAGGCTCTGTTCCTGCATGCTGTGCTGGTCGATGAGCTGCTGAAGTCTTTGGATGCACTGATTGGACGCCACGAGCTGCTCGCGACCTTGGGAGGTCATCCGAAGGTCGAGGACGTCCCTCTGCTTGGAGCACTGCTGGGTGAGGTCGATGGGCTGCGCCACGTTGATGACCTGTTGGGGGGTCATAGCCTGTTGTTGTTGTTGTTGATGTTGAGGCTGTAGAATTATCGCGGCTGAGGGGAACACTTGTTGCTGCATGGTCGGCGCTGAAGAGACGTGCGACGCGGCTTGCGCCCGCAGACGAGCCTGGAAACTGGTCGCCTGGAGGAAAATGGCGGGGGTGATGTTGGGTGGGGGAGGGGGGCGCGCCCGCATCAGTCCGTTCTGTTGGCTTCCTGAGGTAGCACTGGTCACCGTGCAGGCTGGAGACTGGGACAGCGAAGAAATGGCGGTGACCTGACTTTGGCTAGAGGTGCTCGCCACACCGGCTGTGTTAACATTAACGTTACTGGTAACGGCCGGCTGAGCTTGGCACGTGACGACAGACTGCGACAGTGGAGTATCCTGTCCAGACGTACCCTGCAGCATACCCTTGAGATCCACCGGAGCGAAACTCCCGCTGACAACGCACGTCTGCAAATGCGTGAGTAATGCGTTCACAAACTCATCTACGGTGTGAAAGTTCTTTTTCTCCTGGTGTACCCATTGCATGAGCTGTTTCGCCCAGTTTCCTGGCGTTTGCTGCTCTTCTTTCTTTAAGGTGAAACCGCTACTGTGTATTTTGTCCAAGTAGGACAACGTCATTTCTAGTATTTCCGCCTTGTCTAGCTTTTTCTTACCATAGGCCTTACACTCGGGAATTATGGACTTGAGCGCCGTGAGACTAGAGTTGATACGGTCTCTGCGTTTCTTCTCGATGTTCTTGTGGGTGTCCAGGTAGTTGCGGGATTTTTTTCTGGGGTCGTCAAAAAGGTAGGAGTTGATGCGCCGCTCTTCGCCGCCGTCCTGCGTACTGCTGGGCGTCGGCATCGCCATGGTGACAGCCGTCGCCGCTGACGTGGTGGCGAGAGTCATCGCAGTTCCCGCTGTCAGAAAAAAAGTATACATGAGGCCATGCCAATTTAATTTGTTGTTCTCGGATTGTTTTCAAAAAAAATATGAAGCGACAGGGCAAAAAAAAATGAAAGGTCCAGGCATTCCATTATTATAGGCCCAAATGCTAGTTATTGTTATTATGTACTTTTTTTGTCTATTTGTATACATGTATTTAATTCTTTTCTTGAATAAAATTATTTAAAAAAAAAAGGAAATGATGTTATGACAACTTATGTGACATGTGAATCTATGTGTTTGCATTGCATTGATTTGTGTACAATTTTAGATAAAAGAGGGCCTGCATGGGGGAGGTAGTGATCATGAATTACGCAAAGTTTGTGCTACTGATTCTGTTAAATTATGTTAAATTCTTTTAGCTCCGTATTTCGGCTAATGTACTGATTATGAATCACCATGATTTTGGGTGGCTGCTTATGGATTACGAAGACTAGAAATGCCTGATTATGGCTTATGAAAAAGGGCATGCAGACCCTCATAAAAGCTGGGGTGAATACATTGTGAAGGGGGAGAGGAAAGAAACCTCAATGTCCTTGCCTCAACTATATATATATATATGTACACATTGATAATGAAAGTTTGTAATTTTTACATTTCACTATTCTGAGTGATGCAAAATTTAAAAAAAAAACAAATATTTAACATTCTTGATGCAATCATTTCAATTCCATTTCTTGTTTATTCTCAATCAGTTCAGTGTACATTACATTTTGGATGCCACGCCCCCTCGGAATCAAAACGCGGTACCTTGTACCGGCTTGCTTGCTAACTCAACTATGTCATTTAAACACTGAGCACTGAACTATGGAATCAAACATAGTTTCGTGACCCCGGCAAGGCACAAAGTACGTTCCTGTTTAGTTCAAACACCAAAATGGCATTATTTCTTTAGTGCCACTTTGGGCCCCCTCTCCTTTTTCTTTCCTTTTTTTTTTGACACAACTACTGAACTACCTTTTTATGTGACCACACACATACAGTTACCACATAAATTTGTGAAACTAGCTCCACATAATACGGTTGGTTTCGGGCAGAAATATCTCCACTTTAGTTAATATCACAGTATTTTTGCACACATGCGTTGATGTATTTTCAGGACAAGGTGTTCGTAGGTACATATTTGCCGAGGGTTGCTTCATAAATAGGTCGAAAATGTAGCACACACTAACACTGCACCGCGAGCGACCACGCACCACGGCCGGCAAAATCTGACCTCAAACCCCGCCGACGATAAAAGTCTCTCCCGGCGTATTTTCGAGGCCGTTCTCGCACCAGTTTGTAACACATCACAACCTCGAGAGAATGAAGGGTCTTACCTGTCTCAATGGCGAATGTTTGTTGACATTAATCGATAATTTCGATAAGAAATCTTCCAGGGCTCCTCCGAACCTTGCCCAAGGCCGCCATTGTTGTCATTATGATCAGATGGAATGCTCCATTTCGCCTTCATTATAGGGGGTCCTCTGAGGGACCAAATGCCTATTGTTTTATATAAAGAAAAGGGTTATCACTTGAATAAGCATTCATATATAAATTGCATCCTAGATATTCTTCACAATTTAGTTTACATCATAGAGAAATTTGACCTGTGAGATTGACAAGTTTACTTTTAAAAGTTATAATGCTCCTTTAAATCCCCCCTTCGTGGATTAAACTTGAGAGAGTCCCATTTCCACTTCCGCACAATCAGCTGTTGACCTCGCGACCGCATTCAGATGGTATCAACCAAGCAGATGTCTGGCGGCAAAATCGTTACGGTTTAGTATTATAGGGCTGCGTAACTGTTTGGCCAATGGATACTTCCTGGTCAATTTGATACTGACTTGCAGCCACTGAAACGTCCGCTAGCTAAAACATATAACTAATTAAATTCAAAGTTTAATTAAGTGCCTACGACACCAAAATACAACACTGGCGATTGGACTATTCCTAACTAATTGTGACAACCAATTGTATCTTTAGATGAAATTTTTACAGTATCTAAAAATTTACCGTATTATCAAGGGAATTTAAAGATAAGGGCGGATAGACAATGTTTTGATTTTATTCTGTCTTTGTTTGATGTCATACAAAGTTATCTAAGTCATTCTAAGTTATTTGAATGATTTAGTCATTTCCGCATGAAAGTAAATAATATATTACTCACATCATAAAGTTTAATTAATTGTTTAATTATAGACCTACAAGATATATAGTATAATAAAATTATTAAGTTAAGATCATATACATACAGGAATTTTAGGCTTGAAGTCCTTCCGAAGTTCAATGACCTACTCCCAGCATAGCCTGGAATTTCAGCGTCAGTGTATTGAAAATATACTCGTCTAGGATACCAATTGTTAGTGTCAAATACTTGCAGTATTGGGTCTAAACGACATTTCCTAACGATCGAACCAGACTTCCTCCTCCCATCAGGCCATGTTTTATTTTGGATGACATCCTCTGGGAACCCCAAAACTGATGCGAGCGTGCGAAATAAAAAAAAAAGTTTTATTATGAAATCTACATGGTCATGAAGGTTGAACAAATGACTAAACACACATTATAGAGAATAATACTAAACTCTTCGTTTTGATTTCTGTACATTTTCTCCTTTTCATTTTGACATTATACGACATCATAAATATCTTTAATTTTTGAAACATTGCTATCTTTTCAATTTACCGCATGTTGCTCATTTTGCATCAAATTGTACGATTTACAGCATGGTCGTAAACTTATTTTTTGGGGGAAATGGACCAAAATTTATGAACGCGCGGACGTCAACCATATATTCAAATCAAAATAGCTTTATTAAAGTAAGATATGATATGGGCAACTTTAGGTTAGAATTGCGCTTCTGAAGTTCAGTGACCTACTTCCGACATAGCCTGGAATTTTAGAATTTTCAGTGTGTATTGCAACTAAACATTTCGACATTTCCTGATAACATAGAAGGAAGCAAACTTCCTCCTCCCATGAGGCCATGTTGATGTGATTATATGGATGACATCCTCTGGGAACCCAAAAACTGATGCGAGCGTGCAAATAAAAAAAGGTTTTGCCCCCAAAAAGTTGCCTTTATTATCAAATAAATCTACTAGTATGTGGTCATAAACGTTGAACAAATGACTAAACACATATGGGTATGGTGAATAATAGACTCTTCATTTTCATTTCTTCACATTTTTCTTCTTTTCCTTTGGGATTGATTTTTAGATTCTACTACATTAGTATCGTTTTCCAATATTTTTTGCAACATATTTGTTCACTTCGCAGCTGCTTTGTACGATTTACAAGTTTGAAAACTTCTTTTTTTGGGGGTGGGGGGGGGGCGGACAAAAATTGATGCGCGGGCGAAAGTCAGATCCATATAATACAACCAACATAAGGGAACTTAGGAGACCTTATGTTCCTGAAGTTCAATGACCAACTTCCGACATAGCCTGGAATTTCAGTACTTGCTGTGTGTACTCGCTCGCACTACAAGTATTCCGGCTAAACATTTCGACCTCCACCAGGCTTCGGGATGCGGCTGGAAAGAGTAGAAATGGACCAAACTGTATTTTCTAGCCAACTTGTAGAATGCCCTTGCTCTAGCGGACCAACTCCTCTGGCATGTTATCTGTCGAAGCCGCCCCGAAGTCTGGTAGAGGCTAATTTCCTGATAACAACGATCGCAGCCACAGATGCAATCCTCTAGCCTCTATCAGGCTTCAGGAGGCGGCTGGAAAGAGTGGAAATCGGCCAAATAGAGAGATAACATGTCAAGAGAGTTAGTCCGCGGTGAGAGAGCAGTTGCCGCACCCGGGCCGATTTCAGTCCACTCTTTCCAGCAGCCTCCCGAAGCCTGGTAGAGGCTAGCAATCTTCCTCCTCCCACAAGCCTCTTGCAGGCTCCGGAAGGAACACCTCTGCCACCCACTATGTGAAACCTGAATGCCCGACTGTTTTGTATATTCACGTGATATTTTTAACTCCCGGCGGTAGGAAACCGCGTCACTGTGTTGAAAATACCCTCGTCTAGGATGCCGTTTGTTAGTGTCAAATTGCTAACATCTATTTTATACACAAAAGAAAATAATAACTTTAGTTATTTGTTTATGTACAGTCGGATACCCCACCCGTGAATGTTGTTGTCGTGTGTACAGTAAGATCAGAGCGTTTGGTTCCTGAAGTTTATAGTTTACTTTCCGGTGGTAGCTATGTAAATCTTAATGATTCATGTATATGTGTGTGTCTTTACGCCTTTACGTTTGTCCTTGACCTTGGGTCAGTTTACACGGGACAGAAAAATCGTTTGTCTCACGACGATTGACGCGCGGCGCGTGTTGTAGGACAGATTAGAATTGTTTGACCGTGTACGCGTATAAACATTTTCTGCAACCCGAGATGTGCCACTCAAAAATCGACGAGCGGCGCCGCGGCAAATTTCCTCTCTGTGCTCTCTCTGCGACCTGAAATTGCCCAGAGCGCGGAGAGAGCGCCGAACTCCACTAAGAAAGTGCTCAGGTGGAATCTCTACGGCGACCTCTCTGCGCTCTCTATGCGACCACAAACTCAAATGTCAGCAACGTTTTTGGACGATCAACGAATTCATAGCGCACTCAACGAGTTACGGAAATAGAAAACGAATTTTTTTACGTTTTCTCTCTTTCAAAGTCATTCTCGTACATCCTGCATCATATTTAGATTGTTAAATCAAGGGTGCAACCGTGCAAGGCCCCCATTTCACTAGGACGCTCTCACTGCGGTCTCCCTGCGACCTGAAATTGGTCGGAGCGCGGAGAGAGCTCCAAGAACATTTATATGGAGCTTATAATATACGTCCTGTCTACTTCCATAATGAATAAAAATTTGTCTGTTCTATCTGAATCTAAAAAAAAACTAGGGAAACTTATCAGACGTATTGCCTGGCAAATTTGATACTAGTACTGTCTTTGCAGCCACCAACTAAAAGATCTGCTTGGAGATTATGAAAACGTGTTCTCACAGACCATATAGGGTTTAGTTTAGAACTGTATCATACGCGCATCGATATAAAGTTTAACCGTTCCAAGACAGTAGTTCTACAAAGGAGCTATCCTTGGCCCTACCCGTAGCCTCTAACAGGCTTTGTAGGCGGGTGGAAAGAGTAGAAATTGGCCAAAAAGAAATAACACACCAGGGGAGTTGGTCCGCTAGAGAGTACGGTTTGCCGCACCCGAACTGTACATACTCTCTAGCGGACCAACTCCCCCGGCATGTTATCTCTCTTTTTGGCCAATTTCTATTCTACCTACCTGTACTACTGTTACCCTCTGTCCTTGTTCCTGTCTATTGTCGGAAGCTAAAAATATAACATCTCTCGTGCCAAAATATATAGTATACATGCAGGGCGGCCACCTAAGGTGTAAGTATGCATAAGACTGTTTCCACAGCGGTGAAAAATACAAAGAAAAAGTTTGTTGACACACCAAGCGCGACGTCTTTCCGACCATGGATCCTGGCAGCTTCTGACGTACTCTGTTCGCTGTTTTTGACAACAACTTAAGGGGCTTAATTAACAACTACACAACTAGTAGCCTCCATAGCATGCCAAAAAAACTGGGGGTTTGGGGGGGTCTTCAGGGTTTTGGGAGCTTTTTATGTGCTATTTTCTGATTGAATACAGACATCATAGCCGGTCTGGTTAAATTACCCCCGTTTTTAGAACTGGGCTAATCAGAAAACAGCCGAAGACCACCAAACGCCCAGTTCTACCAGTAAGCCTGCTGCGGAGGCTACCAACTATACCCCGTAGCGTTGTAACGAAGAAATATATACCTGCTGGTTTTATTTAGTTTGGGTTTAACGTACAATGATCTATATATCTTATGTAATACATATAAATCATCATTAACCAATGCAGCATCATTAACTGATTGGTGTTTTTGGAAGTTATAACAATTAAGGAAACTATGCGCGGTATTCAAGTCAGTGTTTGTGGCTCGAGCTTAAGTTATGCAATTTACGCAACGCCTTGTTGGGTCTTTGTGATGTTTCCGATAACAATTTCAAAAGCGGAATTCTTTGTACCGGTGAATGAACTTCGCGCTGTGACGTACTTTCCAGCTTTTCCTGCCGTAAACAATAAGAACTTTCTTGCCCTTTCTTCGGAGAAGTTTTGTCTTTCTTGGTATAAACACAGGAGTGGCCCGACATGTAGCTATATAACTTCGTGAAAAATGTTTTCTCTCTCACAAACCTTTTTTGAAGCTACAAGAATATCGCCCATATCCTTACCGTCATGAAAGAAGTTCTTAATCTTAAAGTCCTTTCGCTGGCGTACGTCTTGTTTCTTGAGATGAGCGTGGCAGTGCCGGTTCTTACGTCTTACGGTAGAGACTCGGAACGGTTTACGAGAGGGGTATCGGCAGCAGACAGCGGCGTGGTCCGCATACGGCAGCTGTACTGTCGCGGT